AAGGTCAAAACAAACCCCTCTGTACAAGTAAAATATGTTAATAAATCTTTAAAAAGTTGAAATTTTAAGTTTGTTTTATTTTGATTATAGTCTACATAAAAAGAAGCAGTATAAAAGATTATTTCTAATTGCTATTTCAGTCCTCAGAAAGAATTTTAGACTACATGATGATAATATACTTTATTGTAGTTCTTGTCTCATCTACTCGATCTTCTGCCAGTGTATTATGGTTGGTAACTGTTGTCCTATGTTCCGTTTGTGTAAAATAAATACTCTTTTAAAAATCTTCTAAAAGAAATAGCCGGGTGCTGGTGGCTCACGCCTGAAATCCTAGCTACTAAGGAGGCTGAGATCTTAGGATTCCAGTTTAAAGCCAGCCCCAAAGGAAAGTCCATGAGACTTATCTCCAATAAACCAGCAGGAAAAACAAAACAAAACAAAACAGAAGTGGTGTTGAAGTTCAAGTGGTAGAACGCTAGCCTTGAGCTGAAGAGCTGAAGGACAGCGCCCAGGCCCACAGTTAAAGCCCCATGACCAACCAAAAAAAAAAAGTTAAAAAACTTACAAGGGATATGTGTAGAAAAAATATATTTTCTAGAGATACAAGACAGTTCTGCAGACTCAACAAGATTCATGACCAAGTTCTGGTTAATAGGTACTCTCATGCACCCCTTGTTACTTCTCATGTCTCTGATGAAATACTCCTATAATCATTGCACATACCACTTAATGCAAATACGTTAAAACTTTTACTAAGTAATCAATGAACCTTATATTTCAGCATTTCTTCACTGTTTTTCCATCTTAAATCCCATATTATATATTTGTCATGTACATTGTGTTATGCAGAGAATGTTTTGCCTTGGTACACAGGTTTAAATTCTAATACTACTTTTAGTCAGGGATATTGGTTGTTTTAGAGCATTGGTTATTTTGTTTTTGGACAGGGTCTTGCTATGATAGTCTAGGCCAACTTCAAGCCCAGACTGGTCTTGAACTCAGTATTATCCTGCTTCAGCCTCCTGAGTGCCTGTACCACTGTGCCTGGCTTGCACACTGTTTTCAGAATACTGAAGGTATATAGCAAAAAAGGAACACTTGGATTAGTACTTCATGGTCTTGAGCATTGGGATGGGTGCATAATGACTTAATATTTATTATCCTCCCCAAATGAAAAGAATATTATGAATATATGGCTATTTAATATTCAGACCTGTATTTTAATACTTCATACATGATTCAGACCTTTATTCATATATAATTATTATTTGTAGTTGTTTTTCTGAACTCACTTGAAGCAGCTTATGATTTTCTTTTTTTTTTGCCAGTCATGGGGCCTGAACTTGGGTCTGGGTGCTGTCCCTCAGCTCTTCAGCTCAAGGCTAGCACTCTACCATTTGAGCTACAGCGCCACTTCTGGCTTTTTCTGCTTATGTGGTGCTGAGGAATCGAACCCAGGGCCTTATGCATGCAAGGCAAGCACTCTACCACTGAGCCACCTTCCCAGCCCAGCTTATGATTTTCTATATTGTTATTTACCTTGACTCATATATATATATATATATATATATATATGGTATATATATATGGTATATATATATATGGTATATATATATATATATATGGTGTATATATGTATATATATGGTGTGTGTATATATATATATATATGGTGTGTATATATATATGTATATGTATATATCGGTTGTGGGGCTTGAACTCTGGGCCTGGGTGCTGTCTCTCAGCTCTTCTGCTCAAGGCTAAGGCTCTACCACTTGAGCCACAGCCCCATGGGGCTGGGAAGGTGGCTCAGTGGTAGAGCGCTTGCCTTGCATGCCTGAGGCCCTGGGTTCGATTCCTCAGCACCACATAAGCAAAAGGCCGGAAGTGGCGCTGTGGCTCAAGTGGTAGAGTGCTAGCCTTGAGCTGAAGAGCTGAGGGACAGAGGGACAGCGCCCAGGCCCAGAGTTCAGGCCCCACAACCAGACCCTCCCCCCAAAAAAAGTCTCAACCATGATCCTCAGATCTCAGCCTTCTGAGTAGATAGGATTACAGGTGTGAGTCACCAGCACAGTCTCATCTGTTACCTCAATCCTTTTTTCTCTATTGTTAATCTTATTTGCTTATTTATTCTACTTAGAGGAAAGGAGAGTATTTTTGTCTTTATGTCCTTAGTACGTGATCTAATGCTTGGTAGATGTCTTGTGTTTTTGATAAATGACATTTCTTGAGGACCTATATAATGTCTTACATAAACAATGAGATATTATGTTTGAGGATAAAATGACAGATCTAAGTTGTGGTGGTATTTGATAAGTTTTGGTTGAAAATGTTAATGATTAGTTCCAGTTAGAAGACTAGAGTTAAGGATTTATGTGGATTAGTTGGTAGCTTCCTTTTTCATGCTTTGTAGCAGCCTGCTTTAACTTACTCAATGTACATCTTCCCTGGAGAGATCAGTACGTAGAAAGCTTTATTTATTTGGTGCTGGTCCTGCAGCTTGAAATCAGTGTCTAGATACTATCTCTGAGCTTCTTTTGCTCAAGGGTAGCACTCGTCTACGTTAGCCACAGCTCTATTTCTGGCTTTTTTTTTTTTTTTTTAAAGTAGTTTAATTGGAGTCTCTTCAACTTTCTTGCTTGGGTTTACTTTGAATTGCAGTCCTCAAATCCAGCCTCCTGAGTAGCTAGGATTATAGGCATGAGCTACTGGAGTCCAGCTCCAGTACGTCTTGTTCAAAGCAGAATCTTCTGTTATAAAAATAGTTGTTGGCACTCAGCAAATAATGGTTCAGTAGATTAACTTCTGCACTACTGCTTGATTTAAATGTATCCTTGGATGTCTTCAGTTAATATTACCAAGTAGAATTTCTAGTTTTAAAATTAACCTAAGTAATTGGTTTTCATAGAATCATTTAGGATTTTAAACTTGTGAAGATCTTAGAAATCTTTGACAGAGTCTACACTTGGACTGTGAAAAGGTGAAGTCAGCTATTTAAGTCATTGAACAACAGTTCATATATATCTATATGCAGTATTCACTGATAGGTAGAGCCATAAATTATTCAAAGAATTGTATATAATACATACTATCTGATAATACATGGAATTTTGGCTTGAATGGGCTTATGGTGGTTTCATAGTATATATGTTTTTTCTTTGTTCTTCTAGTCATTTTTTTCATGTGTAGTACTTTGAACCAGTGGCTATGCAGTAACTAGAAGGTAGAGGGGGCTTTATTTATGTATCCTGGCAATGTTACTTTCTTAGAGGGGAAGATATCTAGCAATTACCATCTGGATAAGACATTTTTTGTGTTTTTTGTTTTTGTTGGTCATGGGGCTTGAACTCTGGGCCTGGGCACTGGCTCTTCAGCTCAAGGCTAGTGCTCTACCACTTGAGCTACAGTGCCACTTATGGTTTTCTGGTGGTTTATTGGAGATAAGAGTCTCATGTAGGGGCTGAGAAGGTGGCTCAGTGGTAGAGCGCTTGCCTTGCATGCCAGAGGCCCTGGGTTCGATTCCTCAGCACCACATAAGCAAAAAGAAAAAAGCCAGAAGTGGCGCTGTGGCTCAAGTGGTTGAGTGCTAGCCTTGAGCTGAAGAGCTGAGAGACAGCACCCAGGCACAGAGTTCAGGCCCCATGACTGGACCAAAAAAAAAAAGAGTCTCATGTATTTTCCTGCCTGAGCTGACTTTGAACTGTGATCCTCAGATCTCAGCCTCCTGAGTTGCTAGGATTACAGGCGTGAGCTACTGGTGCCCTTTAGTTGTTCGTTTTGTTTCCTTCCTTGTCTCTGTTAGCCTGTAGAATTACATTGATTTTGCATTTTTACCACTTACTGTTTATCTGTATTTATAATATTAATGTGAATTATGAACATATTATTATGAGCTATTGTTTTTTTTAGATGTTATTTTCTTTTTTTTTTATTTTTATTTTTTTGCCAGTCGTGGGGCCCGAACTCTGGGCCTGGGCACTGTCCCTCAGCTCTTCAGCTCAAGGCTAGCGCTCTACCACTTGAGCCACAGCGCCACTTCTGGCTTTTTTCTTTTTGCTTATGTGGTGCTGAGGAATCGAACCCAGGGCCTCATGCATGCAAGGCAAGCACTCTACCACTGAGCCACCTTCCCAGCCCCAGATGTTATTTTCTATAAATTAACATTTAGAAAAACCGGAATCCTGCTGGGCACTGGTGGCTCATGCTATAACCCCAGCTCTTATCTCCAATTAACTACAGGAAAACCTGAAGTGCTGCTCTGATTCAAGTGGTAGCCTTGAGCAAAGAGTTCAGGGACAGTCCAGGCCCTGAGCTTTGGTTACAAAAAGAAAAAGTGAATCCTGAGACCAGAATCAGAATATAATTTAAAAATTCACAAAGTTTGATTTTAAGGTGTGGACATAGATGATCAGAATGCAAATATATATATATGTACACACACACACATAGACACACACACACACACACACACACATATTCCCCCACTTCCCCTCCCCCCCTCCCCCCCATGGTCCATCTCTGAGCTTTGATGCTTCTTTTGGCTCAAGGCTAATACTCTACCACTTGAGCCATAGCACCACTTCTGGCTTTTTCTGTTTATGTGGTACTGAGGAATTGAAACCAGGGCTTCGTGAATGCTAGGCAGGCGCTCTACCACTGAGCCACATTCCCAGCCCCTAGATTGTGTGTGCGTGCATGCGTGTGTGCGTGCGTGTGTGTGTGTATGTGTGTGTGTGTGCGCGCCCCTGAGGTGCTTTGCTCAAGGCTAGTTACCACCTCTGGCTTTTTGATGGTTTATTGGAGTTAAGAATCTCATGGCTTTGAACTCCCATCCTCGATCTTAGCCTCCTGAGTAGTAAGGATTACTGGCATGAGCCACCAGCACCCTGCTAGCTTATATTTCTTGAGCACAGAAAATACACCTTTATTTTGAATAGATAATAAATATTCTCTTATTTGAGTTCATTAAAAAGTACATATTATTTGCCTTTTTTGTTTCAGTATCAAGATAAAGAGGAAGTTGTCTTGTGGATGAATACTGTTGGGCCTTACCATAATCGCCAAGAAACATATAAGTACTTTTCACTTCCATTCTGTGTTGGGTCAAAAAAAAGTATCAGCCATTACCATGAAACTCTAGGAGAAGCACTTCAAGGAGTGGAGTTGGAATTTAGTGGTCTGGATATTAAATTTAAAGGTAAGTCTGTCTTAATAGTCTCTACAGTCTATTACATAAGTAATAGATTATAGGCTAGGTTTTTGTAACTTCACACTATTGACATTGAGGCCTGGAATTTTTTTTTGTAGGGTGTTAACAAAGCAAATTTTTAATAAAATTATCTAAAATATATCTGAGAAGTGTTTTCTAGTTAACTCTGTAGTTGATTATACATGTGGACAGGAGAGCCTTCATAGATTCCTGGTGAAGTCATTTCTGGAATTGTAATGGGCTGTATGTTTACATTTTAACAAACTATGTAAATCAAATTCAGACTTGTACCATTGGATTTGGCATGTATTTATCAATACTGTATCAATTTACCCTCTCAACAACTATATATTTAATATATATTTATTAAATGTATCAATATATTAAATATAAATATATAAAATATGTATTTAAATATCTTGTCAAACGTGAAGAGAGAATTCTTATCTGTTTATAATTGAATCTTACCAGGTTTTGTGAATGTGTGTATACTTTTTATATTCCTCAGGGAACTGTGTCAGTGTGTATTTCCTGCATAGATATTTTCAGTATGTACCATGAGCTAAAGTTTGAGAAACTGAAAATTTTGAGTACCTTACTTACATTAGTAATAGGAATAGATTTCATTATGTTGTATTTTCACACATTTATAATGTACTCTAAGTAAACTCACCCTCTCCATCATTCTTCCCCTATCATTCTTCTTTCTCAAAACAGTTTCAACAAGTTTCACTGTTCTGTTTTTATAGGCTTTACAGGATCTTTGCTTAAATATCTTGCTTATTGAAAAGAGCATGGATTTTATAGTCAAATTCTGAATTTCAGTCCTATTTTATTGTATAGATTTTAGTAAGCTTGTTTACTCCAGTGTTTACTTCATTGTGTAAAATGAATTAGTAATTGTCTTTGATTTTTTTTTAAAGTATATTTTGGAGACAAGGATTTGAAATGAGATATGATTAACAATATTAAATTTGAATTGTTTAATTATATTTTTAAAGATTTTTTTTGCTATTGTTTTTGAAAATGGGTATACATGAGCATATACACACATACATGCATGCACATATAGTCCTTCCAATAATGTCCCTTGGGACTTAATTATGAAGTTAAGTTGTAAATTTAAACCACAAGTTATGTGGCTATAATTTTATTAGTGACTGTAAATATGCCCTGAAGCTTGGGCTTTAATTTAATAAGGTAATTAAAATATTTAATCACAAAGAAGAAACTTAGACTAGTATTCATTTACTTAAACTGTATTTATTTGCCTACTTTCTCCTTTTCATTTGGTTGAAAATTGTAGTTAAAGAACAATCACCAAGAGAGTAAGCAGAAAACCCCAAGTCCTACTTCGCTACTAAGACTGCATCAGATTTTGAAATCCTCACTGCTATTTTCTAGAGTACTTATTCAGAATATCTATCTATCTATTTATTTATTTTGCCAGTCCTGGGGCTGAACTTGGGGCCTGGGTGTTGTCCTCGAGTTTTTTTTATTTTGCTCAAGGTTATTAGCACTCTACTACTTGAGCTACAGTGCCACTTCTGCCTTTTTCTGAATAGAGTAGTGGAGCTAAGAGTCTAATGACCTTTCCTGCCCAGGCTGTCTTTGAACTGAGATCCTCAAATCTCAGCCTCTTGAGTAGCTAGAATTACAGCTGTGAGCCACCTATGCCTAGTGAGAATGTTTAACCTTTACCCTTGCTAGTTACTTGAGGCTGAGATGAAGAAATTGTTAAATCTAGAGGAAAGTAGTTCAAAAAACTAGGACTTAATGCTAGGTGCTGGTGGCTCATGCCTGTAATCCTAACTACTTAGAATGCTGAGTTCTGAGGATTGCAATTCAAAGTCAGCCCAGGCAGGAAAGTCCGTGAGACTCTTGTCACCAGTTAATCACCAGAAAACTGGAAATGGAGCTGTGACTCAAAGTGGTAGAGTTGCTAGCCTTGAGCAGAAGAGCTCTGTGACAGAGCCCATGCCCTGAGTTCAAGCCCCATGACTGGCAAAAAAAAAAAGGGGGCACTTTGTCATACTTGATGCGTGCCCCCTGTCTGTGTTACAACCTATCTCATTAAAAAATCACAGTGTACATGGTTAAAAAGTGAAAAAGGAGGGAATTTGTATTTCTTTTCAGACTAAGCTACAGATCTTTAGATTGAAAGAGGTACTAGCTAGGTAGTTAAGTGGTTCTTTGGAGACTTATTAACTCTATACCTTCGGCATGGATATACTGCTAAAAACAATTGCTGAATTAAGTGGTCCAGGTAAAATAGTAAATGCTGATTAGATGGTTCTTTCTCCTCTACTGGAGACTTTTGCTGCTCTCTTCAAGAATAAAGTTGATTATGCTTTGAAAATTGTTTTTGATTGCTACTTGGTGCTGTTCCTAGGGTTTGACCATGAGTCTTTACCTGAAAAATCACTAAAAATACAGAAGGGAAAGGTCAGGGAGCATTGGCTCAAGTGGTAGAACACCTGCCTAGCAAGCCTGAAGCCTTGAGCTTGAGTTCAAATGCTAGTACAAATCAATTAAAAAAAAAATGGAGATCTCTTCTCCGTTGACTGATCTAGTTTTTGTCCCATCTTTTCTTTCTATCTATCCTATCTATCTATCTATCTATCTATCTATCTATCTATCTATCTATCTATCTATCTATCTATCTATCTATCTATCTATCTATCTATCTATCTATCGCCTGTCGTGGGGCTTGAAACTCTGGACCTGGGCACTGTCTCTGAGCTTTTTTTGGCTCAAGGCTAGTGTTCTACCACTTGAGCCACAACATTACTTCCTGCTTTTACTGTGTATGTGGTACTGAGGAAGGGAACCCAGAGCTTCATGCATGCCAAGCAAGCACTCTACCACTGAGCAATAGTCCCAGTCACTGTTTTAATTCTTTACTGACTTTAAGTAAGTTTTAGGTGAGAGAAGAAATATTTTTGCTAAAATTTGTTTTCTTAAATTGGAAGTATAGGAATGTAATAGAATATTTTATCTTGGTTTTAACCCAAAGTCTCTTAGCCAGACGAAATAATTTGAATCTAAATTTTTTTGATTTTTGTTTTTTTGGTTTTTTTTTGGTCGGTCGTGGGGCTTGAACTCTGGGCCTGGGCGCTGTCCCTCAGCTCTTCAGCTCAAGGCCAGCACTCTACCACTTGAGCTACAGCGCCACTTCCAGTTTTCTGGTGGCCCAGAGTTCAAGCCCCCCAACCGACCAAAAAAAAAAAGCAAGTAACATTTTTAAGCCTGTTCTTAATACATCTTACCAAATCTAAAAAATCTAAAAATCTAAATCTAAAAAAAGTTGCATAGCTTATGCCATTGATTATTAATCAATACTCTTTTATATAGTTTTAAAATTTACTCCGACTATACCAGTTTTTCTAGTCTTTGTTTTCCTTGAATTAATTTGGCAGTTGCTGAATGCATAATTGCAATCCAGCATTGTGGTAAGCTCTGGAAATACAAAATTCAGCCAGGAGCTGTGACTTGGGTTCTATTGACTCTGAAATTATACACTTAATTTTATATGAATCGGCAGTTGAGAGCAAGGGAAAGGTGACTTTCATCAGATTCTCAAAGAACGATCAAGACAGGGACATTTAAGAACATTGTCAATACATTGGCACTTTCAGTTCTTAAAACAGCTCTGGGAAAGAATTAGCACAGTTGTTTTGGTTCACACTTGAAGGAACTGCAGTTCACAGAAGTTAAATGACTTGCCTTTAATTGCTTAGTTAGCAAGTAGCATAGCTCAGACTAAAATTCATTTGTGTCCATTTCTTTATAAATGTGACTAGTTATTGTGATTGTCAAATACTGTTGAATTTGAGATGGAGACATTCTGATTGTCTAATTTAGTGATGCTGTCAAAAGAGAAGGTAAGCAAAGCAGGATGACTTGATACATTCTTAGACAACTCCTAATTATTATTACATCCTTTTCTCATTGCTCAGTGCCTGTCATACTAGTGTGGCATTACTGGGAATTGATGACAGATGTATTGGTTTCTGGAATATGACCAAATCTTCCCTTCTGTTTGTAAAATACATGCTAACATTTACCACTTCACCATTCTGCTTTAAAACTGTTTACATTGGTAAAATGTTAATTGCATCTTTTCCAGAGTTCTTATATGTCTTTTATGTGAGGATGATACCCAATTGTAATTTTGAAGCAGTGATTTCTCATGATAGATTTGCAAATTGTTTTCCTGATACATGGCCTACTGATAATGATTTGACATATTCATACACATTGTATTAGTTATCTTCAAAGCAGTAACCTCCTGAGAGAAGTAATGTTTCTGTTGGGCAAGCAGGCTTTTCAGCTATTTGTAACGTTTGTATTTGCCTACATGCCTGAAAAGGAATCTCATTAAAATGCAGCCAACCAATGTCCTTTCTACAGCCTGTCATGATGCTTTTCCCTTTTGCTACATTTTATTTTAGATTTTATGATCAGGGAAAGATAGCCTTCAAGACCTCTTTTGTCATTTTCTTCTGAGAGATTCTGCTAAAAAACTTCACTTGTTTATATTGACATTTCTTTATATGCACATGTGCACTCATGCACATACTGCTACACAAATGCATGTGTATGTACTTACTATACTATAATAAACAATAATTTTTCTTTGCCAAGTAAGTGGAAAATTAAAGTTATTTGTAGTACAGGTACTACAATGTAGGGTACTAAGCAAGCAGAGCTGATGGTAAAAAGAATATAATTTTCAAGGCCATATGGTGTTTTCTCAGGAGCTCAGATACTGGTCTGAGGTAAAGTGGTTCAGGCATACATGGCATAGGGAGCCTGGAGAGAAAGCCATGGGACTTAAAAGAAAGGGACAACACTGTGGGTTGGTGAATCAGGGACTGCTCTGTAGGAGAGAGGGTCTGGTGATAGGAAAAACTTAGGGAACTTTCAGGTAGAGTTAATAACCTGAGCAAAATTCTCCAGAGGCCAAGAGAGCATAAGATGTGTAGGAATTTCAGGTAGTTGAGTTGGGTTAGAGAGAACAGACTGAAGATATTAGATCTATTGAGAAACGGTCGAACTAGAGTTCAGGCTATGCAGCATCTTTTAAAAGCTTTGTACACGTAAGTGTCATGTTAATGACCATTATCAACATTTCTTTTTATTAATAGCAAGGAATCCAGAGATAGCTGTGGGGTGTTCCTGTTGCCCTATGAGACTGTCCACTTAAGGCTGATGTTTCCCTTGGTACATTATTACTCAACGGAAGTCTTTTTTGGGGACTTCTTATTGGCAGTTCTTCTATAGCTCTTGGTGTAGAAATGCTTATTAGCACTCTCATTTCCTAACTCTTGTTTCACTGTTCAGCCTCAGTCTTTCCCATTAAGAAAGTCCTAAATTCCCCCAAGGGACTGAAAGAAAATCTGCTTGAGAGTCTCTGTTGGTAGACAAAGCTGTTTTCTTCTAGTTTGAGTGTAAGATGAGTATTTCCCTGCCCTCCTTCTTTTTGGTGATATGTATTCTTTGCTGACTTATGGGGAATCTGTTTTCCTTCTCCCAAGGGATGGAGTGTATGTTGTAGAATGTGGAGTTATAACTTAAATTTTGATCTTTTATAGGAATAATGCTATGGCTATTACTCAGGAGACTGTGACCTGGGGATATTGGTTCAAAGCTAACCATGGGCAGAGAAGTTTGGGAAATTCTTTTTTTTTTTTTTTTTATCCAGTCGTGGGCCTGAACTCTGGGCCTGGGCGCTGTCCCTCAGCTCTTCAGCTCAAGGCTAGCGCTCTACCACTTGAGCCACGGCACCACTTCTGGCTTTTTTCTTTTTACTTATGTGGTGCTGAGGAATCGAACCCAGGGCCTCAGGCATGCAAGGCAAGCACTCTACCACTGAGCCACCTTCCCAGCCCAAGTTTGGGAAATTCTTACCTTCAGTTAGCTACCAAAAAGCTGGAAGTAGGGTTGTGGCTCAAGTGGTAGAACACCAGTCTTGAGCAAAAAGACAAATGAGAGAGCAAGTATGTGAGTTCAGACCCAGTACTGGCACAAAATAAAGCTATTAAGTAACTTAAATTTATGATTTAGCTATAGTTTATATTTAAGAAATTTTAATTAGTATTTAAAAAGTTTAATACTTCTTTGGGAAAAATTGCATTTTAGAGTCAAAATAACCAGCATGTAAGAAAACAAAAGTCTGTGCTTTCTTTTTTATTGTTATGATTGATTTGCTTAAGTAACATATCAAAAAGAGTCAAAATAACCAGCATGTAAGAAAACAAAAGTCTGTGCTTTCTTTTTTATTGTTATGATTGATTTGCTTAAGTAACATATCAAAAGTTTATAATTCTTTTGATTAATATCTAGAGTATTTGCAAATTGTTGGGATAGTCTTTTGTTTGAAAAATAAGCACATATTTGAAGCATTAGGTGTATAAATTAGGGAGCATTGAACAGTTATACTAGTTTTTGAAAGCAGTCAAGTGAAAATGACTCATCTTAGGGAACTTTTGGGTTATTCATTTGTTTATTATTTTTTACTTATTAAGTAGTTGTGCCACGGGGTTACAGTTCCATGAGTACATTGCTTCTTGATCAAAATCACCCCTTCCAGCTGTCTCCCCTATTTTCCCCATTCTATCCCTACCCTCAAGTCACATAGTTCAAGTGTTTACATAATGTATATTGGTTTGGCTTTTTGTGTGTGTGGGGGGGGAGGAGTGCTGGTGCTGGTTCTAGAGCTTAAATTTAGGGCCTGGTGCTATCCCTGAGCTTTTTGTGCTCAAGGCTAGTGTTCTACCACTTGGGTGAGTAATTGGAGATAAGAGTCTCACAGACTCCTAAGTATCTAGGATTACAATCATGAGCTGCTAATGCCTAGCCAGATTTAATTGTTATGAATGGAAATTTTAATTTCAGAAAATGTTGGCTTTTTTCTTGTTTCTGCAAACCTATGAGCTAAACTGCAGTTTTTATTTTATATAGATGATGTGATGCCAGCCACTTACTGTGAAATTGACTTAGATAAGGAAAAAAGAGATGCATTTGTTTATGCTATCAAAAATCACTACTGGTACCAGATGTACATAGATGACTTACCAATATGGGGTAAGTGAATATTATATGTTATATATATGGTTTGGTAAATATGATGAGTTTGTTACAGTGATTGTATACTGGATCATGACGTTAATATATTTTCACTATTTTCCACAGTATGATTTTAAAAACCATTTTTTAAGGATACCTGTTTCTTAAAGCATTTTTCATATTGCTAAACTTTACATGAAACTCCTTCAAGGTAGAACTTTTATATAGTGTAAATTTTATTTATTTATTTTTTGTCCATTGGCCTGAATTCTGGGCCTGAGTGCTATTCTTCAGCTCAAGGCTAGTGCTCTACCACTTGAGCCACAGCACCACTTCCAGCATTTTCTGTTTATTTGGTGCTGAGGAACTGAACCCAAAACTTCATGCATGCTAGGCAAGCACTCTACAACTGGGCCATATTCTCAGCCCTGGCTGTATCTTAAAGTACCAATGTCTACTAGAAGGGGTGGCATTTATTTGATTAAAGATGGTGAGGACCTCATGCCTGCAACGCCAAGCACTCTACCACTGAGCCACCTTCCCAGCCCAATATAACTTCTTAGATTCAAGGAATTAAAACAATCTGAGATATCTTTTTGCCCATGTTTTTCTTATACCTTATTTTAACTTGTTCTTTCAAATATAGCATATTGAAGTTTTAACTTTTTTTTTGGGGGGGGCTTGAACTTAGGGCCCGAGCACTGTTCCTGAGCTTTTTTGCTCCAGGCTAGTACTCTACCACTTTAAACTGCAGTTCCAAGAGTCTCACAGACTTTCCTGCCTGGGCTGGCTTTGAACTGTGATCTTCAGTTCTCATCCTCCTGAGTAGCTAGGATGACAGTCATGAGCTACTGGTGTCCAGCCCAAAATAAATGTACTCTTTTTTAAAAATATATTTTATTGTTATTTTAAGATAACTAACATTTCATTTTATTTTGGGGGGGTTTATTTGGGGTTTGAACTTGGGGCTTGTATGCTGTTCCTGAGCTCTTTTGCTCAAGGCTAGCACTCTATCACTTTGAGCCACAGTGCCACCTCCAAAATTTTAACTTTCTCATGTCACTGTGGTAGTGTGGTTTTGGGTATGATGGTTTCTTTTTCTTCTTCCCCCCTTCCCCCCCCTTTTTTTTTTGTTCTAGTACTGAAGCTTCTTACTCAGGGCTTCTTGCTCACCTTTTGCTCAAACCTGGCATTCTACCACAGGAGTCACACCTCCAGCTTTTGGCTGGCTAAGTGGAACCATAATCCTCACATCTCAGCTTTATCAGTAGTTTGAGATCGTAGGTTCTTGAATAGCTTGTTATTCTGGTTCCAGTGTTATTTTCTGAAGCTTACTATTTAAATTATTTATTTATTTTTGGGTCCAGTCGTGGGGCCTGAATTCTGGGCTTGGGCGCTGTCCCTCAGCTCTTCAGCTCAAGGGTAGTGCTCTACCATTTGAGCCATAGCACCACTTTCGGCTTTTTTCTTTTTGCTTATGTGGTGCTGAGGAATCAAACCCAGGGCCTCATGCATGCAAGGCAAGCGCTCTACCACTGAGCCACCTTCCCAGCCCCTAAATTTTTTATTTTTTATTTTTATTTTTTGTGCTGTAGTGGTACTTGATCTCAGGGCCTGGACACTGTCACTGAGCTTTTGTCCTCTAGCCACAGCTCCATTTCTGGCTTTTTTTGGAAATTAGATTTTAATTGGAAATAAGATTTTCATAGGTTTTCCTGCCTGGGCTGGCTTTGAACCATGATCCCCAGATCTCACCCTCCCATGTAGGTAGGATTACAGGTGACAGCCACTGGCACCTGGCAATATTATATTGTTTAACTAGAGGTGCAGCTCAGGTGGTAGTATAGCACCAGCTGTTAGCAAAATATTGAAAAATCTGAGCAAGATGATTAAGCCCTGAGTTTAAACATTAGTACTGGCACACACACACAAAAGTTTTGCTCTTGTTTACCTATACTAATGGAGAAATACATGCACAATTAATAAAGACTTATGTATAATCCAAAAATCAATTGACTTGATTAAATTATTTAAAATGTAAAACATAAGCAGCTGTCCCACTCATTGTGTTTGATCACTTTATATTTTTTGTCTTCGGATGCTTTTCTATATGTAATGAATGCTTTTCTAATTCTTAAAACTGTTAGGTGACTATAAGTTCAGGAGCATCAGACTATGAATTGAACATAATAGTTTGCTACCACACTAAAGAAAAATGTATAAGAAAGTTAATTCCAAGAAATAATTTTATGTATCATTATTACTATGTTATCTGTCAATTAGATATGTATTGTGAGCATTTCTATAAATGATTGCAATTAGTGGCATAGTAACCTAGGCATTTGGTATCAGAAGGATGTGCTAAATATTCACTAGAGCTTCCTGATCTTGTATTTCTGCTTGTAGTTCAAAAGAACCCATTAGGCTAAACTTCATTAAAAAAAAACATATTTTTGCACTTGTCCTGGGGTTTGAACTCAGGACCTGGGTGCTGTCCCTGAGCTTCTTTCGCTCATGCATAGTGCTCTACCACTTGAGCCACAGCTCCACTTCTGGTTTTTTGAGGTAGTTTATTGGAAATAAGAGTCCCATGGACTTTCTTGCCTGGGCTGGCTTTGAACCATGATCCTCAGATCACCTTCCTGAGTAGCTAGGATTACAGGTGAGAGACATTAGCACCTGGCATAAAGTTCATTTTCAGTGAGACAAAGGTTCTTCCCTTCCTTAGTTTCTTATCGAGATGTATAGTTGTGTGATTTTTGTTTGTTTTTGTTTTGCTTTATGTTGTCCTAGTCATTGTTATGTGCCTCTTTAATGTCAGTGATATTGGATCTTAACTTAAAATGTTATTTTTTTAGACTTGGGATTTCAGGGTCTGCCATGTTTAGGAGACACTTTTGAATATTATGGAATGTCTAAACCAAAGAGAATCTTTCAGAAAGAAAATTCCAATCTGGGGCTGGGAAGGTGGCTCAATGGTAGAGTGCTTGCCTTGCATGCACGAGGCCCTGGGTTCGATTCTTCAGCACCACATAAACAGAAAAAGCCAGAAGTGTGGCCGAGGCTCAAGTGGTAGAGCTCTAGTCTACAGCTGAAGAGCTGAGGGACAGTGCCCAGGCCCAAAGTTCAGGCCCCGTGACTGACAAAAAAAAAAAAAAAAGAAAATTCCAATCTGACTTTTCTTGGGGCAAAGCCTCTTAGAGAAAAGCTTCTCATTTTGGTATAATTGTGGCTTTCAATCTTAGTGAAGCTAATTATTAGAAGAATTTCATTATCTTTATTTCTAAATATAACAAAGCTATCTTCTTCAGTTTGTACCAATTAGTAAGAATCACCTTGCTTAATAAGCAAATCATCCTTTGTAAGAAATTAACATATTTTTTCCCTGATACTTCACTGGGGTGCATTGACCATAGAGGGATGTCCTGACAGTTTAAAGCTTTGGGAAGTTTATAGATTTGAATGGGGAACATTTGACAAATAGCTGACCATTTGAAGGCATAAGAATCCTCAGCTACCAGTTACCATCTCACATTGTTCACCTCTTGCCTTCTGATTCCAAAATTAGGATCAAAATAATCATTTAAAAATATTGCCTCATTACCATTTATCTTCAACAGTCCTTTCATTTTGCTGACTTCCAGAGACAGATGTAGTACTTGAGGTATAAAGAGTAGGCATTTTAAACTTCAAATAAACACACACACACACAGAGTGTATGTTTGTATCTACGTATAACATCTTTCTAGTATTGGCTAGAACATAGGTTGTTAAGAGAAATAATAACTCGAAAGGCCTCGAGAAAACTTGGTTTTAGTTTAGTTTGATCATTGGTAGTTCAGTAACCTTGAAAGATGTTGACAAAGCATTCCCCTGAAATTTGAGGTGTTAGGGAGTTTATACATATAGGTGGTAATTATTTCAAAGAAAGTAATAGTAATGAGAAAACATGAACTTTGGGATCAAGTTAGTGTGTAGTTATGCTGAACTACTCAAGTAGTCATGGTATGACTGTGGTGTGTGTTACTAAATAGAAGCTGAGCTTACAAATTTGCTTTATTCTATTCATGGAGGTAGTAATATTATTGGTTTTATTTATGTAAAAGAAATTCAACTTCTCTCCCTCCCCCACTGTATTTGAGGTTGGTATAATTTGTGGAGGGGAAGGGGAAAAACAAGTCGTTTAAATAAGGGTACAGGTGGACCCATTGCAACAATGAGAAGTACAAGTCGTTATGTCGAAAATGAACTTTACAACTTTGGTGGGGGGGGGAGGTGGGGAGAATTGGGTGGAGGGCGGGGGAGGATGGGAAGGGGAAACAAAGGAGGAGGCTACAATGCTTGATAAGAAATGTACTCATTATCTTGCCCATGTAATTGTAACCCCTCTGTACAGTATTTTCACAATAAAAAATAAATAAAAATTAAAAAAAAGGAGGCAACAATGCTTGATAAGAAATGTACTAATTACCTTGCTCATGTAATTGTAACCCCTCTGTATGGTATTTTCACAATAAAAAAACCTTATTAAAAGAAAAAAAATTCAACTTCTGGGATGTTTAGATACTAAATGGTACTACCTTGTATAAAGTATTTTTTCTTTTGTAGGTATTGTTGGTGAAGCAGATGAAAATGGAGAAGATTATTATCTCTGGACCTACAAAAAACTTGAAATTGGTTTTAATGGAAATCGAATTGTTGATGTTAATTTAACTAGTGAAGGGAAGGTGAAACTAGTTCCAAATACAAAAATACAGATGTCATATTCAGTAAGTGTTAGAATACTTGTATGTAGGAAGAACTATTTTCAGTAAGTGTTAGAATACTTGTATGTAGGAAGAACTATTTGCAATTGTTTTTGAGCTTTAGTAAATGAACATGTAGCTTAAAATTGGATGCAACAGCATAATATTAAAACTTTTCTCAATGTAAGCCTCCTAAAAATGGGACAGATAAACTTCAGGTCTACATAGTATGAGATACCAGTTGTGCATTTGTTGGACATACTATTTACCATTTTCTCTAGTAAAAGTGACTGAGCAGTTCTAACCCAGCCAGGTTAATTTATATGGTTATATTTTTATGTTGTAGTAGTTCATGTTTCTCTCATTTATCATTGCAAATAGAAATCGAACTATAGAAAAGGTTGCTGGATAGGTATAGTTTACCTTGGTTAATTTGATCTATTGGAATCATTATTCCTGCAGAGTAAGAGCTCATCAGAACCCTTTAGCAACTGTCAAGACAGTTAATTGTTTTATTAGGCTTAAAAATGATGGGAAGGAGAGAGAAAAATCCAATATAGGTAACTTTTCACTTTCCAGGAGTGAGTTAATTTTGAGAGTTTTTCAAGCTTTGTGCATAGTAGATAAATAATATTGGCATAATTTTTGTGCTTATGGAGAAATTTTGTAGTTGTAATAAAAGTAATGCAATCTAAAGATTCTGGGCACTGGTGGCTCATACTGTAATTCTAGCTACTCAAGAGCCTGAGATGTAAGTATTATGTATTAAAGTCAGCCTGGCAGGAAAGTCCATGAGACTCTTATTTACAATTAACCATCAAAAAGCCTGAAAGTAGAGCTGTGGTTCAGGTGGTAGAGTGCTAGCCTTGAGCAAAAAAAAAAACTCAGGGACAGCACCAGGTGCTGAGTTTTAGGCCCCAGGATGACATTAAAAAAACCCAATAAACAAAGATAAAGATGTCTAAGATTTTTATTTTAGTTGGTTTAAACACTTGTGGTTTAATACTCAACACATTTATCAGGTCAGAATATGCAAGGCCACAATAGTAAATAGTCTTTGAAAACAAAATGATCCCTCTAAAGAAAGGTGTGACTTTTGCTTATACACAGAGAAGAAATTTAAGAAAGTTCATTAGTCTTCTTATACCTGTTTAAACTTTACTGGCAATATTGTTTCATCATTTAAGATTCTTCCCAGCCGGGCGCTGGTGACTCATGCCTGCAGTCCTAGCTACTCAGGAGGCTGAGATCTGAGGATAACAGTTCAAAGCCAGCTCGGGCAGGAAAGTCCGTGAAACTCTTATCTCCAATAAACTACCAGAAAACTGGAAGTGGTGCTGTATAGCTCAAGTGGTAGAGCGCTCGCCTTGAGCTGAAGAGCTGAGGGACAGCGCTCAGGCCCAGAGTTCAAGCCCTACAACCAACAACAACAACAAAAAAAGATTCTTCCCCATCACTTAAACTCAAGGCCCAGGTGCCATCCCTGAGCTTATTTTGTTTAATGCTAGTGTTCTAACATTGGAGGCAGAACTTCTCTTTTGGTTTTTTTGGGGGAAAGTTTATTGGAGATAAGAGGCTCATGGACTTTCTGCCCAGGCTGCCTTTGAACTGGAATCCTCGGATTTCAGCCTCCTGAGTATTTAATATAACAGTCGTGAACCTGGTTTTTCTGTTTTAAGTGTGTAAATACTGTAAATATTTTCAGATTTTACTTTGAGCTTTGTCATCAACTTAATAACTTGTTTACTAGTCTTGGTTTTCAAGTGAAATTTATATTTTTTAGGTAAAATGGAAAAAGTCAGATGTAAAATTTGAAGATCGATTTGACAAATATCTTGATCCGTCATTTTTTCAACATAGGGTAGGTAAATTTTACATTTTAAGACATTGGATATGCATGCAAATCAGTTTCATAAATATTGAGTATTTGCTGTGTATAGGGCATTATAGTAAGAGTTCAAGATTTTATTAATGGTGATTTCAGATGTGAACTTGGGAGTCATAGAGTAAAGAGTGATAGGCTGTTTTAGAACATCAATCAAAAGCTCTTTTCTTCATCTGGTGGTTTAAACTAAGCAATACACAAGAAGGAATGCAATGTGTAGGAAGCCAACATGTCAATTTAATTACTAATATTGGAGAATATGGCTTATATTCATCATGAAATGGGCTTTTTACTACTGACGCTCAGAATTAAACAGATCTAACATTCAATGCTGAATTACTACTACAAGTTTCACTATATGGGCATCTGCCCTCATAAAGCCTATGGTGTGGAAAAACATGTGCCTTTTCTTGGATAGGAGTAATGACTGAATGAGTAAAGATGGTTTTGCTAGTGAAATTCCTTAAACAGAAACATCAAGAATGTGAAGAAACACTTCCACATTCCTCATCCCCCATTAACATATATAAGCTGGATCTCAGCTCATAAGACTAGCAGGTAATATTAGTTCTGAGTTTGTACATTAGTTTGATTTTTTTTTTTTTTTTGTCATGGTGCTTGAACTGGGCAGGGCCTCTGTACTGTCCCTGAGCTCTTAGCTAAGACCACTTTGAGCCACAGCTCTACTTGTGGTTTTCTGGTGGTTAATTGGAGATAAGAGTCTCACAGACTTTACTGCCCAGTCTGGCTTTGAACCATGGTCCTCCAATCTCAGCCTCCTGAGTAGCTAGGATTACAGGTGTGAACCACCAGTTCCCAGCTAGTTTTGATTTCTTATATCAAAAGATAGGCTTAATCATGGTTATTTCTTGAAGGTTAGAGATAAAAAGACCACAAGGCAATGGGATATATCATACTTCTGGGTTTCTTCCTGAATCACCACTCTTTTGATCTCATATTTGTTTGTTTTGGAGGTTTTGATGGCTTGCTTGATAGGCTGGCTGCCTACCATTTGATCCACACCTCCAACTCTTTTTACCTTATCTGTTTTTGAGATAGGGTCTCCCTTTTGGTCTAGCCTGGCCTGGAGTATGATCCTTCTATTTATGCTTCCCATGTTGCTGGGAACATGATAGGTCCTTGCCATTGTGTCCAGCTTTTTAATTGATTGAAATGGGGCTTAGTGAGCTTTTTGGCCAAGCTGACATTGAACTTCAGACATCCCAATCTCAGTCTCCTGAGGATCTAGGATTATTGGCCACTGTGGACTACCAAGTCTGGCTTGATCTAATCTTTTGTGTGCTTTATGTTTGCTAAGCAGGTGCTCTGCAACTTGATTAAGCCCCCTCTTTTTAAGATACAGCAAAAACATTACATTTGTACATTGATTATGTCAGTGCAAAGTAGGGACGAGGGAATGAGATGAGATCTGCGTTAGTGTTGTGGTGATTCTTAATTCATTGGCTAAAAGCGGAATCTAGCTCAGGTTCTGCTGTTTATCATAACCTGGTCAAATGACTGAATTCTTCAGCTTGTATCCTTAGTATTAGAGCAAGGATCACGATCATGATACCTTGTGGGGTCTTGGGGCAGTTTTACTTTGATAGTGTTCCTGAAGCTTCTAGTCAGTGTTTGGCACACAACAGGTACTCTGTACAAGATGGCATTGTTGTTGCCCATTTGTTGTTCATCTCTAGTTATATTCTAGAATTCAGGTGCAATTGAAAGTGTAGCTTTGTGTTTAGTCTTTTGAGGAACCTCCATACTGCTTTCCAGAGCTCCCCTGTGACCTAGCAATCCCACTTTCTGGGCATTTACCCAAATGACCACAAACAAGGCCATACTAAAGCTACCAGCACAACTATGTTTTTTGCATCATTATTCACCATACCAACCCAGATGCCCCTCAGTAGATAAATGGGTCAAGAAAATGTGGTGTGTGTGTGTGTTTGTGTGTGTGTAATGGAATTCTGTGAATTCATCAAAAAGAATGATACCCCATTTGTAAGAAAATGGAAGGACTTAGAAAAAGTCATATTAAGTGAAGTAAGATAGACCCAAAGAAACCTAGGTCCCATGGTTTCCCTTATTTGTAATAAATGGTATACCTCTAGGATAATCTCAGCAGATGAGCAGAATCGCTCAATAGCTATGTACATATGATCATATAAGATGATGCTAAGCAAAATGAACCCCAAGACATGGACACACGAAGTTTTTATTTGTTGTTGTATTTGTTTTGTTTGTTTTAATGTATTACGTGATTTCTTCTTTTGTGTTTTCCTCCCTATAGTTTTTCCCCTATTGTCATTGTATTTGATTTTGGTACCCTGGGTATTGTATATATGTTTATCTGAATTAGGGAAGGGAAGCAGAACAAAAAAATAATGAGAAAAGAAAAGGGGGAACCAATTTGACAGTGATTTGGGAGAGGTAGGGGAGGAGGGAAAGTGGGAGAAAAATGAGGGAAGGGGTAACAAGTTCAACAAGAAATGTACTCACTACGTTACTTATGTAACTAACTCCTATGTACATCACCTTGGCAATAAAAATTAAATTTTAAATTAAAAAAATGCAGCTTTAGGATTAACACCACTAGGGGGTGCTAGAGGGCAGCAGTTGGTAGGGTCAGGAAGGCAGCTTTAGTCTATGACAACTGTTGATTTTAATGTTTTAAGATTGTTACTCAGAGAAAGAGAATTAACACTTAATTCTTTTTTTTAACCATTCACAGTGCTATACTTTATGTATGTTATTAAAGCACAAATCACATATAAGTTTTTTTTTGTTCCATTTTTATTTTAGATTACCAAAGCCTCATAGAAATTGGCAGCACTGGGCTTAAAATTTACAGGCCTGTTTGTTTTTCACTCCTATGCTTTTTCCCTGTAAAGTTAAATAGCATATGTAATATGGCTAAATTATGGTCCATTTGAATGTATAGGTGATAGTGTGTTTTCAGTGTAGAGTTTACTGTAAAGAAAACCAATTTCCATGAATTTAGATCTTTATGTAAAAGTTTTTAGAGACTTTTTTCTACTAGTGTCCAGTTGCCATGAAACCTATAAATTTTATAACTGATATTTCACATAACATTTTCTGTTATTTTAGATCCATTGGTTTTCAATTTTTAACTCCTTCATGATGGTGATCTTCTTGGTGGGCTTAGTTTCAATGATTTTAATGAGAACTTTAAGAAAAGATTATGCCCGGTACAGTAAAGAAGAAGAAATGGATGACATGGTGAGAAAACATTTTATACTACATTTAGTAAAAAACAACAGCATAATATAAGTAACAGTTTTTAACTTACAAATCCATGAGGACAGGTTAGATTTTTGAATTTAGAATTTTTAATTTTAAAAAAGATCTAAAGTGAGGGGGTAACAATGCTGCATAGGAAATAGACTCATTACCTTACTCATGTAACTATAACCCCTTTGTACGGTATCTTTACAACAAAAATACATTGCACTGTATCTTTACAGTAAAAAATGCATCTCCTCCAAAAAAGGTCTAAAGTAATGTGTAGTATTCCAGGTTTTTAGTTCCAGCTACTCAAGAAGATGAGATAAGATCACTTGAACTCAGAAATTCAAGTTCTTTGCGGGGGGGGGGGGGTCCGGTCGTGGGGGCTGAACTCTGTGCCTGGGCGCTGTCCCTCAGTTCTTCAGCTTAAGGCCAGCACTCTACCACTTGAGCTACAGTGCCACTTCCGGCTTTTTTTTTCTCCTGCTTATGTGGTGCTGAGGAATCGAACCCAGGGCCTCATGCATACAAGGCAAGAGCTCTACCACTGAGCCACCTTCCCAGCTCCAGAAATTCAAGTTTTATATGGCATCCTAGTGAGACTTATTTCTCCCTCCTTCCCTTCCTTCTTTCTTCCTTTCATTTCTCCCTCCTTCCTTCTTTCCTTCCATTCTTTTTGTGCCAGTCCTAGAGATTGAACTCAGGGCCTGGACACTAGTTATGACCTATTTCTACTCAAGGCCAGCACTCTACCACTTAAGTCACAGCTTCACATTCTTCTCCCCTCCTTTTTTGGTAGTTAATTGGAAATAAGAATCTCATGGACTTTCTTGCTTGGGCTGGCTTCAAACCATGATCCTCAAGTCTTAGACTCCTGAGTAGTTAGGATGATAAGCATGAGCCATTGTAAGCCAGTGAGACTCATTTTCTTAAAAAATGAAACTTTGTTGGGGTTTTGGCTGTGTGGTAGAACACTTGCTTAGTATGAACAAAGCTTTTGGATTCAATCCCCATCACTACAAATTTTAAATAATTAATAAACTAGAAGAAAAGAGGAAGAGAGGGAAGGAAGGAGGCATGAAAAGGTTTTTTAGCAAGACATGAAAATGTTCACCCAAGTGAGATAACATTCTAAGTTATTAAAGCAGACATTATGTTAACTTTGAAATGTCTTTTTGGAATATTTAGAGCGCTTTTAAAAAGGTATAAACTTGGAGAAAGGGAAACCTTTATTTTTCTATGTTTTTATTTGATTCTGACTGGTTTTCTTTTCTCTGTATGTATTGTATATACTTAAATACAGGATAGAGACCTAGGAGATGAATATGGATGGAAGCAGGTGCATGGAGATGTATTTAGACCATCAAGTCACCCACTGATATTTTCTTCTCTCATTGGTTCTGGGTGTCAGATATTTGCAGTGTCTCTCATTGTTATTATTGTTGCAATGATAGAAGATTTATATACAGAGTAAGTGCTTATATTTAACTTTTACCTCTTTGGGTTTTTTTTTTTTTGCTAAAAATGTTATAAATTGCTTCTAATTAAATATTTGCTTATTTAGAATCTCAATACTATAAATGTCATATTACAGATAAATAGGGAGCAGTAACTGTCAGCTATGTGTATGTATATTCCTCTGTACATGCTAAAACTTGCTAGCATTACTGAACTTATGGTTGAATATAACAGTTGAGTTCGAATAAGATAAGCAGAGGTTACTTTCAATGCAAAATGGTTATAAATGAGCAGTTTTTTCTTTGAAGTTCATAACTCAATGAGATTGTTATAAGAAACTCCAGAATTTCACAGTAACTAAATTAGTACTTCCCATTTACATTAAAACTGGTAACTGTATACAAAATAGGAACAAAAAAATACTGTACATGATGGTAAAGGATGATAGACAAATCACATGTCTGTTTGTGTGTGATATTAATTAACTCTGGAGCATTTTAAAAGATTAGGGTGGGCCTGCAGTGCCGCTGCTGCTTCACTTTTCATGGAGAGTAGTACAGCAGCAGCAGGGGAAGGCAAAGCAGTTGCTTACTGGATTCTCCTCCAGTCTCAGGACTTGGAGGCTGCCACAGTGCTGTTTTCAAATGTAGATGAAAATGGCTCATTTAGGGCCTGGGAGTAAAATGCCTATAGAATATTTATGAACACAGAGGTGAAGGATATATGTGATTTTTAAAACTGGCAGATGAGGGGCTGGGGGTTTAACCTAGCGGAAGGGCGCCTGCCGGGCGCGCGCAAGGCCCTGGGTTTGGTCCTCAGCCCTGGAAGAAAAAAAAAAAGAAAAAAAATGGCAGATGATTATAACTTCATTTCTCTGGTACCATCAAACATATTATCATCATTTTATACTCGTAAATACATGGCAGCCTTTTTTTTCTTTTGACCAGTCCTTGGGCTTGAACTCTGGGCCTGGTTGCTTTGCCTAAGCCTCTTTGTGCTCAAGCTTAGTGCTCTACTACTTGAGCCACAGTGCCACTTCCGGCTTGTTTTTGAGTAGCTGATTGAAGAGTCTCACAGGAATTTTCTTGCTGGGCTGTGTTTGAACCATGATCCTTTGATCTCAGCCTCCAGAGTAGCCAGGATTATAGGCATGAGCCACCAGCACCCAGCAGTGGGCAGGCAGCCTTTTGATAATCAGCCTTTGTACTGATACTAGGAACTTGTGGTGTTAGAATGGTCCTACACTGAAAGCAGCTTTCCTTTCCTTTTTTTTTTTTTTAATTTGAGAAAAGTAATTATGTATTTTCACCCATCAGCACTCTGTCTTCTTTCCATTTCCCCTCCCACTGATTTCCTCTGTCAGGTCCCCCCTTTTATATTCATGTCCTGTTAATATCATCATAATTATCATCATCATTTCAAGTCTTGTTTCTGCATATAAGCAAAAATGGGATTTTTGGCCTTCAAGTTTCCAGTTCCACCAATTTTCCTTCAAACTATGTCTTCAGTTTTTTCTTTGGGCTGAATAATATTTTATGATGTATATATACCAATATATATCATATTTTAAAAATGCATGTATACAGGTATTACTGTTCATTGTTAGCTTACATTCTTTTAAGTATTTTTCTAGTGGTAGTGCAGGATCATATTTGTAATTTTTCAAGGAACTTCCATATGTATTTTAATAGTGGTTGTACTAATTTACATTTTCATTAATAATGTTCTCATTTGGTTTTTGTTGTTCTTGATGTTTTCCCACCATTCTGACAAAGATGGAATCTTAGTCAGCTGATTTGCATTTCATATGGCTAAGATTGTCATTAACCATTTGTGTTTTTTCTTTTGAGAACTGATTCATTTGCTCATTAGATAATTTTTTTATTTTTTCACTTTTGTCTGATGAATAGCATGCAAAGATTTTCTCTCATTCTTTGGGCTGTCTCTTGATTCTGATAAGTTTTTTTCCTTTGATATGCAGAAGCTTTTTTTTTGGTCCATTTGTGGGGCTTGAACTCTGGGCCTGGGTACTGTCCCTCAGCTCTTCAGCTCAAGGCGAGCGCTCTACCACTTGAGCCACAGCATCACTTCTGGCTTTTGTTTCTTTTTGCTTATGTGGTGCTGGGGAATCGAACCCAGGGCCTCATGCATGCAAGGTAAGCTCTCTATCACTGAGCCACCTTCCCAGCCCCTGAAGCTTTTTAATTTAATCCCATTTGTCATTTTATATCCTGGGCAGTCGGAGTCTTATTAAAAAAGAATAGTTGCTTATGACTATATTTTAAAGAGTTTTCCATAGCATTTTCTTACCTTAAGATCTTTGATTTATTTCAAGTTGATTTTTGTACAGGGCATGAATGTGTACTTTCAGTCTTTTACATGTGGATATCCAGTTTTCCTAGTACCATTTGATGAAGTGCTTTTTGTTTTGTTTTGTGTTTTTGCTCTTTTGTCAACTCTCAGATGATTATAGCTATGTGGACTTAGTTCTGGTTCTAATATTCCATTGGTTTGTGTGTCTATCTTTGTACAATTCTTTTTTTTTCTAACTGTAGCTCTGTAGTATAATTTGAAGTACGATACCTCCAATGAAATTGAAAAGTAGATTTTTTTTTTTCTTGGCGGTATTAGGGTTTGATTGAACACATTTGCTATGTTAGCATTCTGTCTCCTTTTATCTACACTCTCAGTCTTGAAAGCAACCTGTTTTCAGCATAGTTAGGTCTGTGTCAACTCTGAAACACACATGTACAATGAGAATGGTTTATATTTGTTAATGATATGGAAAAAATAAATTACCACTTGCAGTGTCTAATTGGGTTCTTGAGAAACAGATGTAGCTCTTGGAACTGATTAACTTTGAGGCTCATAATCCTTATGTTATACTGTGTTTAGTTAGTTGTATATTAATGGGAACGGGATATTGCAGTGTTTGCACTATTGTGTATCAGCTTAATGAGAAAGTGAACATAGGTATCTTTGAGCATAAGAAGTCAACATATTACAAGACCAATAGTTAAACAGTATATAGAACGTTAATTAATGAGTACCTGTTTATATAACAGCAAATGATATGCTGTAATTTATCATTTTAACATTTAAAAAATATCTTTTCCAGTTCTGTCCCACAGGAGGTTAGTCTGAATTTCTTACATGTTGTTGTAGTAAAGGTTAGTGATTTTGTCAGTCGTGGGGCTTGAACTCTGGGTCTGGGGCCTGTCCCTCAGCTCTATCACTTGCACCACTGCGCCACTTCTGGTTTTCTGGTGGTTTATTGGAAATAAGAGTCTCACAGACTTTGCTGCCCAGGCTGGCTTTGAACCGCAATCCTCAGATCTCAGCCTCCTGAGTAGCTAGGATTACAGGCATGAGCCACAGGCACCTGGTGGGTAGTGGTTCTTGATCTGAGTCAATGTTGCCTTGTGGACCAATAGACTTTTTTAAAAAAATGTTCTTTAGCAGCATAAAGGAAACTAGATAAAACTTTCAGTAAAATACCATTTAAAATAACAGTGGATTTTAAAAAAAATTAATTTTATTGTTATAGTATTGTATAGAGAGAGGCTAGCATTTCACATGTTAGGATTTTTTTTTTCCTTTAGGTCGGGGAAGAGTGTTCTGGGTTTGAACTCAGAACTTCATGTTTGCTAGGCAAGCACTCTATAACCTGAGCCATGTCCCTGCCCCCAAATAGAAATATTTCATATGATTAACCCATTCCCCTTTTATTTCTAGTGGCAGGCAAGAATATCAAACATTGGATCAGGTTAAGAAAAGGAATATTTTAGTCACTTTTCTGTGACTATTCTGTTGCATATGATGGGATTAGTTTACAGGTTGCAGAACAGTTTTGCTGCCAGCTTATAATATTGTTGCCAAAAAATGTGATTCTTGTTTGGAATATGTTAAAAAATTTAGCTGCAGAAACAGGAAAAAAATGTTGGATCAGTCTCTTGTCATTTATGTGCAGTTTTAACTAGAAATTCACTTACTAGAGAAGCTGTTGAGGTCTTTTGTAGTCCTGAGTATATTTTTTCTATGTCAAATATCTTTGAAATTAAATTAATTGATAAGGGAACAGACTACATGATTTTTTCTTTATTTATATTGTTGGTTTTAATTTATCATGTGTTTCTTTTGCCATTTTAGGAGGGGTTCAATGCTCAGTACAGCCATATTTGTCTATGCTGCTACATCTCCAGTGAATGGTTATTTTGGAGGAAGTCTGTATGCTAGACAAGGAGGTAACTTAGGAGTTATATATTTTTAATTACAGATACTATTTCTTTACTGTGAAGCATTTGGAATTTAAAATGGGTAGAATAGCATTGTAAAATCCTTTATTAGGCCATTTTTATAATCTCTACCAAACCTATTATGTGTTCTAGCTTGTCTTTATAGAACCTTTGCATTTTATTTCCTGTAGTGGAGCTGTGGCTCAAGTGATAAAACACCAGCCTTGAGCACAAAAAGCTCAGGGACAGCACCTAGGCCCTGAGTTCAAGCCTCAGCGCCAACACATACATACACACATTATGAATAACTGGTAGATAATCTTCAGTGTGAAATTAATCCCAAGGAACACCTAGAAGAACACACACATTTAAGTTAGTTGATATCATGTTGCTTTGAGGTGCCTTTGTCCCTAAGTATGTACCATGTGAGGTCTTTATCTAGAGTGTAATTTTGAAGATGAATATAAAGGCATGCTGAATGGCCTGTGGGTAAAGCTTCTGGGCAGTGAAAAGAGAATAGGAAGGTGGGCTATTTGTGATTTAAAATCACAGATTTTTCTTTTTCAGTATCATAGAAAGCATTTTATCTTAAATACCTCTTGCTCCTCTACTACTACAACCTAAACATGATGAGGATAACAAACATGATAAAGGTTGCTGTTTCTTTCAGGAGTACATAGGTTTGTTTTTCCTGTAATAATAATCTGGGGTCAGAAGGATGACCAGAGTTTATGAATATAGGGTTGTTGAAAGACTTTATATTCTCAAAGACAGAGACTATTTAGTATGATTTTTTTCACAGCCGGTTCAAGCATTATGAGCATTAGGGGATCCTGCTTTCTATTGGTAGACGCAGAGATTTATAGTTATAAGAAACCAGAGCATACGATCACTTCAATTTCCCCAAGGATATTCTATTTGCCATTGCTTTTCTTTGGTTTATGGAATTCTTTGGATTGCCTACAGGCATATTCTGGATTCCTAACAGTTTTACTTAGGTGTTCAGCCTGTGAAATCTGCCTGTATGCCTCGGAAACAAGTTCTATCATATAGGACTATATCCTAAGGAAACATGGATGCCTAAAGCAACTTCAGCTGTTCTTAGGCTAAACGTTTTAGTTTATAACTTTCAAAAGAGTCTTCACAACAGTAACATTTAAACAGGAAATTTATTCAGGTTTGGACATTAAATTTGCTTTTTTTCTGATTAAGAGTTAAGAACAGCCAGCTCTTATTTCTTTACTACACTTAACTCTTAAAAATTGAAAGCAGCCTGGCACCAATGGCTCACTCCTGTCATCCTGGGTACTCAGGAGCTGAGATCTGATGAGGATTGTGGTTTAAAGCCAGCTTGGGCATCCTGCCCAAGTCTGTGAAACTCTTATCTGATTAACCACCCAAAGCCAAAAGGGAAGCTGTAGCTTAAGTGGTAGAGTAGTAGCCTTAAGCAAAAAAAGCTCAGGGACAGCACCTAGGCCTTGAGTTAAAGCCCCAGGACTGGTGTGTGCCAAATTCATCCACCTGTACACATACCCTCACACAGGTACATAATTGAAAGCATTTAAGCTCAGGTCTGTGGTATGAAATCTTTGCATTATTAAGAACATCTTCTGATTGGTTGTGCCCTGAGAAAGTCTGATTGTATCATGGTAATTTCGTTGGAATGATTGCTAAGAATCAGGCTTAATGTAGAGGCTGGCCCACAAAGTCAAGAGTTTTTCACTTACCTCTCAAAATTGGATCTGTACTGGAGCTGGAGGTTTTCTCCTTGTCCTCCTCATACTAAATAAATAATACTCGACTCTTGAAGCTAGGGATAACCTGGAACTTGAAGAATTCCACTAGTCTTTATTAGCTATTGATTTGAAAGTTATTAAGATCTCATATTTCATGGTCTTTTTATTAAATTTGTAAGTAAATAATTTGGTACTAGATAAATGCATTTTTTACATTGATGGTATTTGTCTAGTTCTGGTTTTTATAATTTCCCTTGTTTTTCAGGAAGGAGATGGATAAAGCAGATGTTTATTGGGGCATTTCTTATCCCAGCTATGGTGTGCGGCACTGCCTTCTTCATCAACTTTATAGCCATTTATTACCACGCCTCAAGAGCCATTCCTTTTGGAACAATGGTAAGTCACTTGAATCTTCTTATAAAGTAAGTATAAACATTCTAATTATGAAGTCTCTGCCTCTCCAGAGTATTTTTTTTTAAGGTTTCTGATAGTTTTAGCCAGTCTCTTCTGAATCCTAGAAAGTTAGATGATGAGAAAAATATTATTGGGATCCATAAAATTTTGGCTAAAATTTAAAGGCAGTTTAACTCCCTTCTTGCTTGATTCTGTGAGCCAGTAATGAGAAGCTGACTATATGTAAGGCAAAAGAAAGCATGCTATAGCTTTTTATCAGAGATGGCAAAAACTGGTGAATATATTTTAGAAAGAATAATGATATAGTAAGAAGTATGTTTTGAGGTGATAGGTGAGTGCAGTGGTAGGAAGAAACTGCCTCCATTTTTTTTGGGGGGGGGTCCGGTCGTGGGGCCTGAACTCTGGGCCTGGGCGCTGTCCCTCAGCTCTTCAGCTCAAGGCTAGCGCTCTACCACTTGAGCCACAGCGCCACTTCCGGCTTTTTCTTTTTGCTTATGTGGTGCTGAGGAATCGAACCCAGGGCCTCTGGCATGCAAGGCAAACGCTCTACCACTGAGCCACCTTCCCAGCCCCATATTTTTTTATTAACATAATTTTAGAACTTCACTAAGCATTATAGGACTTCACTAAATTCATTATGCATCATATTAATAATATATATTGATACAAATATTAAAAGTCCTTTTATATTTTAGCAATACTCACAGACTTTGAAATGTTTTGGATTATTTAAATATTTTAAAAAGTAGAACAAAGATACAGTCCTACTTTACATCGTTAACTAGCAGTCTCCCAACTTTTCCTTTATTTTTTTGCCAAAAGCATAACCTTAGATTCAAACTAGACTTCATTCTTGATGTGTACTTGTGTGTACATATACACATACCTTGCAAGTTGCATGTAAGACACAAATAGTTTAGCAAGGTCATACAGGCAGTGAGTGATAGAATAGCAACTAGAATATACATCTCTTTCAGAGTTTTAGCCTTATTTATAGTTTCTATCACACAAGAGTTATTCAAATGGCTTCAGAGAAATTTCAGATGACTGATTGGTTTACAATTTCAATTTTTTAGATACACTGAAGAGACATTTCACTGAACTGTCAGTACTTTTTAGTTGGGAATTAGGAACATTTTGAAATATATCGATAACAGCCATTCTGTATATCTAAAGGCTAGTTTTAGATCTGGAGGGGGATCTTTTTTAAAAACATTAAAATTTTTTTTTATTGTTGTTATAAAGGTGATATATACAGAGGGGTTGCAGTTATATCAGGTAATGAGTACATTTCTGTTTGTCACCTCTTCAGTATCACCCCTTCCTTTGCTCTTTCCCAGTTTTTCCCTCCCATCCCTACCTACAAATTATATAGCTCATTATACTGAGTACCACTATTGCATTTGTTTGGAAGGGGATCTTGAACATATTCAGAAATATGCCATAGGCTTTAGAAATCAGATTTCACAATGTACAGGGAAATGTTTTATCATGGCTTGCATCTTGAGCAATAACTGGGAAAGTGACTTGAAAATTGGAGATTCTCAGAAATGAAATTCATGGTATGTAATCAGAAATCACAATAATGAGGAAGAATTTGAGACCAAGTTTACTATATAGATACTTTTTGGTGATAAAGACTATAACAGTAATTTCAGCTACTCTGGAGACAGAGAGCCAAGAGGATCACAGTTTGAGGCCAACCTAACTAGAAGTTAGTAAAACCCCATTTCAACATGTAAGCATGTGTGGTGGTGCTACCTGTGCTCCTCAATATGTGGGAAGTATATGAAGATCATCACCTAAGGTCAGCCTAGGCAAAAATACAAGACCCTACCCCCAAAATAACTAAACCAAAAAAGGACTAGAGGTCCTTTTGTATTTGCCTAAGTATTCTAATGGTTTCCTAGCAAGTGCAAGGCCCTGAGTTCAAATACCATACCAAGAACAACAAAACCCAAAAGACCCAAAACTATAAAGCAGTATGTATCTAAAAAGTGGCTGGAAGGGGCTGGGAAGGTGGCTCAGTAGTAGAGAGCTTGCCTTGCATGCATGAGGCCCTGGGTTCCATTCCTCAGCACCACATAAGCAAAAGAAAAAAAGCCGGAAGTGGCGCCGTGGCTCAAGTGGTAGAGCACTAGCCTTGAGCTGAATAGCTGAGGGACAGTGCCCCGGCCCAGAGTTCAGGCCCCACACCTGGACCCCCCAAAAAAAAACAAAAAGTGGCTGGAAGAGTAAAGAATACCCCAAATTATATACCTTATACTCGGAAGTAAAGGTATATAAAAATAGTGCTAGGAGAGTCCTTTTTCTTTTTTTCTTTTGCCAGTCCTGGGCTTGAATTCTGGGCCTACACTTTGTCCCTGAGCTCCATTTGCTCAAGTCTAGCACTCTACCCTTGAGCCAGAGCTCTACTTCTGGCTTTTTTCTGTGATTACTTGGAGATAAGAGTCTCATGGACTTTTCTGCCCAGGCTGGCTTTGAATGTCAAGCCTCAGATCTCAGCCTTGTAATAGCTAGGATTACAGGCATGAGCCACCAGCACCCCAGCTGAGAACAATAATTTTTTTTTTTTTGGGTCCAGTCGTGGGGCCTGAACTCTGGGCCTGGGCGCTGTCCCTCAGTTCTTCAGCTCAAGGCTAGCACTCTACCACTTGAGCCACAGCGCCACTTCTGGCAAAAAGCCAGAAGAAAAAATCTTTTTGCTTATGTGGTGCTGAGGAATCGAACCCAGGGCCTCTGGCATGCAAGGCAAGCGCTCTACCACTGAGCCACCTTCCCAGCCCCCATATAAGTAATGTTTGAATAACTAATTTAAGTACTGTAAAACAACATAGGCAAGTTTATTCTTCTAGGGGAAAAGGGAGAATGTTTGTTACACCTTATAGAATATTTTGAAATTGATATTGATAAAGCACAAGATTAATGACAGGGGTAATGAATATTGGGAGCCAGTATGGATTCATTAAAGGGAAATTGTTTCATTTCCTTTTTTGGTAAGTTTTAATAGACTAGAAGAACAAAAGAGTATAAATGAAGTATCACATCTAAAGAAATGTGGTTAAAATAGTAGTGCAGCAGATATATATTAGCTAAATAATCACAGAGTTAAGTATTGATGTTACTTGTAGTGCATTACATTTGTGTGTTAGGGTCATGTGGTTGATATTCTTGTCTCTAACCTATTGAAATGATTATTAATAACTCAAAGACATAGTGATCTCCTAATTAAGTTGAAAAAGGATATGAGACCAGGGAGCAAATTAGTTATGGAATACAGAAGACAGCATACATCAAACAAAATTATTATCTGGCTAAAATTATGTGCCAGATCTAAAAAGATTAATCATAAGGACAGATGATAACACATTATTTGCAGCATGCTTTGTAGATTACAGAACATTTACATTCCCATTATCTCATATAGTTTTAGAAGAATTCTCAAAGGGAAGCAGAGCCAGTATTATGGCCCACTATTTCTTAGACTTTTGCATAATAATTTACCCCAAATTACATTTTCTTTGTTTTGGTGGTGCTGGTGGTGGTGATTATCAGGTTTTTTGATCATAGATATTTTTTGCTGCAATTATTTACATTTTTCCTTTTCAAAAAATTGAAATCAGTTCTTCTCAAAATTATTTTGGCTTTTTAATATTCTTGTATTTTTACATAAAATTTAGAATCAGCTTGTTGGTTTCTACAAACTTTAGGACTTTGATTGGGAGTAATTGGCATCTTAACGTTACTGCATCATTTGAGTCATGAACATAATATGTCTCTTATTTACATACCTTTAAGTTTTCTCAACAGTGATTTATTGATGTTAATGTTTGTGTTTTATACATATTTTTGTTGAATTTATCCTTATGTATTTGTGTATATATAGTGTGTGTGCATGCATGTGCATATGTGTGTACACGTGTGTGTACAAGTGTGCATGTGTGCACTACTCCTGGGGCTTGAACTCAGGGGCTTTTATGTGCTCCATTGGTAGTTAATTGGAAATAACATTCTTGCCTCGGTTGACTTCAAATTATGATTCTAAGATTGCAGCCTTCCAAGTAGCTAGGGTTATAGGTGTGAGCCACCAGTGCCCGAGTGAGAGAGGAAGTTTTCAACAAAGCTAAATATTTGATAGTCTTAATGAAGGTTTATAATTTTTATTTTTAAATGGATTCTTGTGTGCAGAAGGCTAGAGGTGCTTTCATACATGTCATTTACCCAAGTGCTTTGTAGCACATAGTGCTTGTAGTAGTGCTTTTGCTTCTACAACTTTTAGTGAACAAATACGTTGCAGCTGAGATGAACCATGGGAGGTAGAATAAAAAACCAGTGTACCATCCAAGCCTTTCTTATCATCCAGAAGTAGATAGATAGATAGATAGGTAGGTAGATAGATAGATAAAAATATAGGCTTTTTTTCTGAGGCTTGCACAAAAATGAATCAGTCTCTAAGTGATCTCCTTTGTATTAGTATTTGTTGTAGAATTCATTTGAGAAGTATGTACTTTATTATAACTAGGCATAGTTTTTAAAAATTATTTTCAAGAGCTAGGTGCTGGTCACTCATATCTGTAATCCTAGCTACTCAAGAGGCTTCAATTTGAGGCTTGAGTCTCAAAGCTAGCCTGGGCAAGAAAGTCTATGAGATTCAATTAACTACTAAAAAGCTGGAAATGGAGCTCTAGCTCCAAGTGGTAGAATTCTATAGCCTTGGGCACAAAAGTTTAGGGACAGTTTCCAGGTTCTGAGTTTAAGGCCTAGGACTGGGGCACACTTGCATGAGCATACACACGTGTGCATGTGTACACGCACGCGCACACACACACACACACACGCGCACACACACACTTTCTTTTCAAAAGGATTTCCAAATCAAATTCTTAGGAATTTCTGAAGTACTCTGAAACTCCTAAGCTCTTTTTTAGATCATATGATTGCACATAGGAATGTTCCCTTAAGTTTCCCCCCCCAAAAAAAAAGTGGAGTTGGGGCATGTGACCTCAAGTCCGAGCCCTAGTACTAGAACCCTCCTCCCCCCCAAAAAAATAACTGAACAAACAAATTGGAGACAATATTTACTATCATAATAATACATGAAACATAATACTTTAAAGTATCTTAAAAGCACCTGTTTTTTCAAAATATATTTTTATTGTAAAGATACCTGTTTTTTTTAATTTTAATTTTAATTTTTTTGTCTGTCATGAGGCTTGAACTCTGTCCTGGGCACTAGTGGTCCCTGAGCTCTTCAGCTCAAGGCAAGTGCTCTGCCACTTGAGTGACAGCACCACTTCTGTTTTTCTGGTGATTAGCTGGAGATAAGAGTCTTACAGACTTTCCTGCCTGGGCTAGCTTTGAACCATGATCCTCAGATCTCAGCCTACTGAGTAGCTAGGATTATAGGCGGGAACCATCAGCACCCAGCACCTGTTTATTTTTTATGTTTCATATAGTTCTTATTATGTGACCATAAGTTTGTGGTATTTAAAGGTGTGAACTGAGACAAAATGAGTTCCTTAATCTGATCCTTAATTAGATTACAGAACTCTCTTAATTGTCACACATTTATACATGTTTTAGCTGAAAGGCAGTGATACCTTGGCTTTTTACATACACAGAATATAATGTGAGTTTTCACTAACATTGGTTCAAAAAACATTCATATAATCATGGTCATTTTTCTACCGTGTCACTCTTATTTCTCTGTTTCTTCACAGCTTTTCCTCTCACTTCTACTTTCTATTTATTAAAATCCCAAAATGGGGGCTGGGAAGGTGGCTCAGTGGTAGAGTGCTTTCCTTGCATGCATGAGGACCTGGGTTTGATTCCTCAGCACCACATAAGCAGAAAAAGCCAGAAGTGATGCTGTGGCTCAAGTGGTAGAACACTAACTCTGAGCTGAAGAGCTGAGGGACCAGAGTTCAGGCCCCACCACCAACAAATTAAAACAAATATAAAAATAAAATCCCAAAATGTATAATTGATTTTAGTAACTTGGTTTTTCATTTTATCTAAAGTTCAGAGTGAATTGATTTTAGCTAGATGCTATCCCCCAAAGTTTGTATGTTTTATAAAATTATTAAATACTTTCCAGTTGTCCTCTTTGGTTCTAAGATATATGGCTTTGTCTAATTTTAGACTCTTGAGAAACATTTGTATTATTTTAGTAACGGCACATATACATGGTAGAGATACTTCTGTTGCCAAATTTCAAGGCACTGTAGAATAGAATTAGCATGAACCTTTGGGCCAGCAGATCTGAGTTAAAATTTTAGTTAGTCTACATACTAGATATATGATCACAAAAAATTACCTAGCCTCTCTGGATCTCATTTTTTTCACCTATGAAATAGGTGAATAGAGTTTGTAAAGTTCAATGTAGCCCAGTAAATTGGTTATAATGCTAAAAGATGAAGCATAGATAAGATTAAATAAAGCATGACAACTGAGTAGGAAAGACGAGAACAAAGGATTTATCAGAGTATGAAAGAATAGAGAAATGGATAACCAAAATGATAGGAAACAATTCAGCTGGTGTTTGATTCAATTATAATATTTACCTGTTCTAATAGTGTTATATTTTATACAATTCTAGTCTTTACTGAACTTAAACATTTTCTTTTGTGATCGAATTGTGCTTAAATTTTAAGTCTCTTGTTTTTTATTAGTATTACTGTTCTCTGGATAATCATACTTTTTTTTTTTATAGGTGGCTGTTTGTTGCATTTGCTTTTTTGTTATTCTTCCTTTAAATCTTGTTGGTACAATTCTTGGCCGAAATCTGTCAGGCCAGCCCAACTTCCCTTGTCGAGTCAATGCTGTGCCTCGTCCTATACCAGAGAAAAAATGGTAAGAATACTATATCTTATATGGTTGTTTCTCACAATAAAGAAGTTCTTAAAACATATATAACTTTAGAGTTTGCATGTGTTTATGAGACTTTTAAATTTGAGCTTAAGAATTTGTTGGTGTTCATTTTCCTCTCAGTTTATATTATAGAAGTAGTATTACATTACGTCCTTATTTTAGTTTCTGAATAATGTTGCCATTCAGATAAGTCAGATGCTTTGATAGGTAGAAAGCTAATGCTTCACTTTTTTTTTGATTGGGAATAAGACATACTTTTCTGCCAGGGCTGCCTTTCAGCTTTTGAGTTGCTAGGATTACAGGTTCAAGCCACCAGCACCCAGCTACTTGACCAGTTTGTTTTTGTTGATGTTGTTTTGTTGGTGTGTTTTGTTTTGCTTTGTTTTTGGTCAGTTGTGGGGCTTGAACTCAGGGTCTGGGTTCTGTCCCAGAGCTCTTTTGCTCAAGGCTATAGCACTCTCATTTTGAGCCACAGTGCCACTTCTGGTTTTCTGGTGGTTAATTGGAGATGAGAGTCTCACAGACTTTTTTGCTCAAGCTGGCTTTGAACCACAGTCCTCAGATTCCAGCCTCCTGAGTAGCTAGGATTACAAGTGTGAGCCACCAAAACCCAGTTTTGCCAGTTTTTTTTTTTTTTTTTTTAAGCCTGCAGGTTAAATTTAACCTGTTAATTGGCTGCCTTTTCTTTTTTTTAGGTACTGGGCTTTGAACTGAAGACCTGTTTGTGCTTGCTAAGCAGACTTTTCACTGAGCCATTCCTTAGTTTTTCTTGCTTTTATTTTATCTTCAGGTAGTGACTAGCTTTTGCCTAACCTGGCCTTAAACCAGCATCCTTCTACCTACACTTACTGTATAGTTGGTGGGGGGATTACAGGTGTCAGCCACAAGTCTCTGGTTGCCTGTACCTTACAGACCATATCTCCTCCAAAACCTGAACCATTTACTATGTGGACATATACAGAAAAATCTGCTAACTCCTGGCCTGTAACATCTTTTCTTTTTTTTTTTTACCTTTGCCTTTTTTATTAGTAGTTCTTAAAATGGATAAAATGATTTTGATTTTCTTAACTGTACTCAGTCATTTCCTTTTTCCAGTTTTTGCCACAGCTATTTTAGTAGCTTATGTCTATAATGTTTTGTTCCTTTTCATTTTTTTTAAAAATCCAAGATATAAACAGACTAACTTTAAAATAATTTTAAAATAAGTGAATGTTTTTAATTAACATGACAAATCATACTTATTTGTGCTCAATAAGTGAAAAAGTTAACCTTTTTTCTTTTTCTTTTTATTGTGAAAAAACTGTACAGAGGGGTTACAATTACATGGGCAAGATAATGAGTACATTTCTTATCAATCATTGTAGCCTCCTCCTTTGTTTCCCCTTCCCATCCCTTCCAAGCCTCTCCCCCATCCTCCTCCCCCCCCCAACCAAAGTTGTAGAGTTCGTTTTCGACATGACAACTTGACTTCTCATTGTTGCAACGGGTCCACCTGTATCCTTATTTAAACAACTTGTTTAAGGTGATGTTAGGAAAATGAACCCTAAGATATGTATTTAATTTTTTTTCTTTCATGTATTTGTTTCTAACGCATTTATATGATTATTTCTTTGTTGCTTTGTATGTCCTTCCCCCACAGTATAACCCCTGCTTTCACTGTATTTGATGTCTGTAACATCTTTTCTAAGTCACAATTTATCCTCACTTTGCAATAGTACAGAATTTCTTTCTTCTTTTTTTCCTTTTTTCTCTTTCTCACTTCCTCCCTCCTTTCTTCCTTCTCTCTCTCTCTCTCTCTCCCTCTCCCTCCTTCTCCCCCCTCTCCCTCTTTCTCTCTTTCCTTCCTTTCTTCCTTCCTTCTTTCCTGTGCCACCTCCACCTCCTCTCTAATTCGTTGCCAGTACTGGTGTTTGAACTCAGGATCTTAAGCTCTGGCTTAGTCTTTTTTGCTCAACTTCTGTCACTCTGCTTGAGCCATCCCTCCACTTCCAGCTTTTTGCTGGTTAATTGAAGCATCTCAGATTTGTCTGTCCAGGCTGGCTTTAAACCTGGATCCTCACATCTCAGCCTCCCTGAGTAGCTAGGCACAAGTCAGCAGCACCTAGCTGTATTTTCCTAGTTTTCATTTTACTTTTTTTTGGGGGGTTGGTTGTGGGGCTTGAATTTCCTAGTTTTGTTTTGTTTTGTTTTCTGGGTCCGGTCGTGGGGTCTGAACTCTGGGCTTGGGCGCTGTCCCTCAGCTCTTCACCTCAAGGCTAGCACTCTACCATCTGAGCCACAGCGCCACTTCCGGCTTTTTTTCTTTTTGCTTATGTGGTGCTGAGGAATAGAACCCAGGGCCTCAGGCATGCAAGGCAAGCCCTCTACCACTGAGCCACCTTCCCAGCCCCTTTCCTAGTTTTTAATAGGATAGAATTAATTGAATTTATCATCATCTTAAGATGATACAGAGTAGACTATATACATAAATATAAGCAATATAAATTGGAAAAATACTTTTCTTAGATATTTGCTCTTAAGTGTGTCTATATATAACATCTAGCTACTTATACAAACATGCAAGTGTTACTTGTCTTTTCTAGGTGTGGAAGTATGTAGATGTATATGGAAATAGAGGCTGAATAAAACAGGCCTATAGTTTTAGGGGAGTGATCTAGTCTGAGGAATTAGTCATATGTTGCTTTTCTTATTGTTATACGGATATATAGCAATTTTGAGTCTTCAACTTCTTTTTTTTTTCCTAAGTCACTATTAGACAGACTGGACCAGTGTTCTCATGTTTACCTCACATCTGAGGAGAAGTATTTCCAGGTCACTGAGACTAGTGAAGGAGAGGAATGAATATCATTTGCCTGTGCCCTTACTCATTAGAGTTGAGTTCCAGTTGAGTGTAGAAAGACTGATGTATAACTTACTTTGTTTTTGGTGGTGCTAGCGTTTGAATTCAGGGCCTGTCTTTTGAGCTGTGCCTCCAGCTCTCTTTGCTTTAGTTACTTTTTTGGATAGCATCCCAAGTTTTGTTTTTTTTTTGGGTCTGGTCTCCTACCTATGCCTCCCCAGTTATTCTGATTACAGATGTGCCACACCATGACCAGCTTGTTTATTGAGATGAAATCTCATTAACTTGCCTGGGCTAGCTCTGAACCTTGATCCTCCTGGGTCTGCACTATCTAAGTAGCTGGTATTACAAGCATGAGCTACCACATCTAACACCGAGGCTTGTTTTTTAATTGCATGGGAATTAAAATCTGATTATAGATTTGGACTTTCAACTTTTGTGGGTGTTGGCTAACTGTAGAAGAAGGGAACTAGACTAAAGTTACTTTTTTTTTTTCCTAGCTTTGAATTTCTTACATTTTCTTCTTAGTTTTCCAGTTTATTCACCTCAAAAGATGTTATTTTTCCTGTGCCCAGATACTGTGCCTTGGCAGTGGGAGTATGTAGATTTCTAGCTTGTTCTTGCTGACATTGTAGTCTAGTGAACTTACATTTTCTTCTTAGTTTTCCAGTTTATTCACCCCAAAAGATGTTTGTTACGTTTCCTGTGCTCAGATACTGTGCTCAGCAGTGGGAGTATGTAGATTTCTAGCTTGTTCTTGCTGACATTGTAGTCTAGTGAAATATGCTATAGGTAACTTAACAGTACTGTACTAAGTGCTGCAGTGGGCTGTGTTCACCAGGCAATGGGGCCATCTCTCCTCTGGAGACTTGGGAGGCCTTAAAGGAGGAGAACACATGAGCCAGTGCTTTCAGGAAGAGAGTATTTCAGAAGGCAATCCAGGTGGAGAATGACTGATTATCATCAGTAAGTGTTGAGTGAATGAGTGAAGTTTGAATTTTAGTTCTTATTTTTTCTTTGGCTTCATTATAAATCATTTTTAACTATTTTAACTATATAATTCACTGAAAAAGGAAGTACAGAGTGAGCAGAGATATAGCAAAGCCACAGTTTATGAAAAGTTGCTTCACGTTCTATTTTCTTCTCTTTGGCTTTCTGTAAGTAAATGCTTATAGAGTTCATAGAAGTTATTGAGAAGTGTCACAGTAAGAGTAAAGAGATTTTTTTTTTTTAAGTTCTCTCAGTTGCAGTACTTTATTCCTCAAATACTTCAGGCTTTAATATTGCAAAGACTATTGATTATAACCTATGACTAATTTGAAACCAAGCTGTGTGTTGTATCTTTGGGTTTTGATTTTTCTTTTTACTGGTTTACTTTTATCCTTAGGACTTATATATCCTATAAAAATCATATTGGAAGCTTACTGTTACTTTAATATTTTCCAGGTTTATGGAGCCTGCAGTTATTGTTTGCCTGGGAGGAATTTTACCTTTTGGCTCAATCTTTATTGAAATGTAAGTTCCTGCAGTGTATTTATATTTTGAGGGATTTGATTATAATAAAGAGAATTGTTTGTTGTAGATACGGAATTATTAAAGTAGTATACATTGCTTTAACAAAATTTTTCAAGCAGCTGACTTTATGAAGTGCCAACGTTTTTGGAGGTTCAAAGTGCAAGATTAGGCAGTCCTTTTGGTTTGACTGCTGGTGAGGATGATATAATGGGAATATCTGAGGGGTGGGGATTATAAAGAAGTCAGAAAGAAGGCCTACCATCCCCCTGTTCCTTCCAAAGGCACCCCACTAGTACTCTACGCACCTCCCATATGGCCCTGTTTCCCCAGGCCACCCTGGGATCAAGACTTTTAGTCAGCAAAGCATCCTTGGGAGATACACAACCTTGAAACCATAACAGCATTTAACAGAGTCATTGATCCCTTCCAGAAAGGAGTCTGGATACTTTTTTAAATTAGCTTTTAGACCTCTATCACTTAACAGCGAGGGAACAGAAGCTCTATTAAGGCTTGCTGAAAACATGAATGATAAATAAGTGAGCTAGCAAACAGATGAAAAAGAAGAGATTCAAGGTCTTGTTCTGACTTAATGCTGAATGAGAGTAGAAATCTTCCTACTTTTCCCTTACTGCCCTCTGAAGACCATGTAAATCATTCTTAGGCTTTGTTTTCCTAATTTTCTTTTTCAAATTTTATATATTACTCTTGTCAACTTATATTTTTCCATGTAAGAGAACATTTTTATAAATATAAAATAATACATTGATCAAATAGTATATAAAAATGAAGGAACTGACTTTTGCAAATGGAGATTTTCAACTACTTTCACTAGTTCTTTTCTGCAGTTAACTCCTTTAAGCTATAGTTTGTTCAGTTTGCTTAGATCTGAATATCTTCCTGAAAGATCTGTTACTGATTAAATACAATAAAATATTTTGAGGATTTAACACATGAGATAAGGATTAGGGAAACTGAGAAGTTACTTAAAAGAAGTCATTTAAGTGAGATAAACGTGAAAGGTGAAATGTAATGAGTCTCAGCAAGAACTGATGTTTGAGATGAAGATTGAAGCTATGTCTTTATCACATCTTAGGTATTTCATCTTCACCTCTTTCTGGGCATATAAGATCTACTATGTCTATGGCTTCATGATGCTGGTGCTGGTCATTCTGTGCATTGTGACTGTTTGCGTGACCATCGTCTGCACATACTTCCTGCTAAATGCGGAGGACTATAGGTGGTAAGTACCTATATTAAGACTGTCTATGAAATCCCTGAAGCTGAGAACAACATCTGTATAAAAGTTTTACTATTTAAGGGATTGATGGTGGTAGAACAAATCATGTTAAGTGAGGTAAGACAAGCTCAGAGAGACAAATAGTACTTGTTCTCTCTGATAAGGGGAAATTAGATCTAAAATGCACTGGGATACAATCAATTATACAGGATTCTAGATACTTGCATACAGTGAAACAAAAAAGGAATACTTTTAGGAGAGAAACACAAAGGCACAAGTCTAAGTGCCTCTTCATGTTTATATAAAATAGTATATATGCTGAAATGAACTCCGTGATATGGACACGAGACTTTTTTCTTCTTTTTTTTTTAAGAAGAGTTGTTGATGATTCTATATTTTTTACCTTATGTATAATGTATTCGAGTACATCTTTGGAAGGGTTGGAGAAGGGTACAGAACTCGAGGGGAAAAGGGTGAAAAAGTACAACAGTGGAGTTCACTGGATATTGATGAAAGTGAACTTTAAAACTCATGTATAGAGACAGGAGGGAGGCACTGGGAGAAAATGAGAGAACAGAAGACACTATATGAAAGGATACATATTACCTGACTCATATAATTGTAATCCTTCTGTACATCACCTCTATAACAATAAAGTAAATTAATAAAATAAAAAAATTTACTACTTAAGAAAGGAGTCAGATACTAGTGATGCATTCCTGTAGTCCTAGCTACTTAGGAGGCTATGATCTGCAAGATCATTGTTCAAAGCCAGTTGGGACAGAAAAGTACAAGACTCCATCTAAAAATAGAACTACCAAAATACTGAGTGGAGGTATGATTCAAGTGGTAGAGTGCTGGCTGAGGGAGTTCAAAATCGGATACTGCTCCCCATCCCACCAAGAGAGTAAAGGGATTTTTTTTTTCAGTTATAAAAATAATGAAAAAAACATGTTGGGAGGTGTACGTGTGTCACTGTGGAGTTTGAAGTTGGCCTCACACATGCTAGGCAGATGTTCTACCACTTGATTCATACCCTCAGCTCTTTTCAGATAGGGTCTTAACGTTTTGCCCAAGGCCAGCCTCAGACCATGCTCCTCATAATAGATGCCTCTTGTTAGTTAGCTGAGATTACAGATGTATATATTACCATGCCTAACTGATTTATTGAGATAGAGCCTTGATAATTTTTGCCTAGTCTGGCTTGAATCTTAGTCCTTCCAATAAGCTGTGTTCCAGGCATGAGCCACCACAACCCATAATGATAAAAACTTTTAGAAGAAAAATAGCATTAATTAGGCCAAAAAAAGTGCTACATGAAATATTTTATTGAAAAGCTTGATATGGAATTTTATAAAGAAGCATCTCTTCCCCACTTCAACTCCCCACCCTCAGTATTAGAGCTTGAACTCAGGGCTTGGGCACTATCCCTTAGCATTTTTGCTCAAGGCTCTGTCTCAGCTTTCTTCTGACTTTTTGGTTGTTATTGGACTCACAGACTTTTCTACCTGGGCTTTGAACTGTGGTCCTCAGATTTCAGCCTCCTGAGTAGTTAAGATGACATGCAGGGGCCACTGACACCTAGCACATCTTTCCCCTTTCAAACATGTAAAGACAAATCTGAAAAGGAAAAATGTTTATGAGGGTCTCTTATAATAAATAATCTGACAAAATGTAGGAACTTTCTTTCTGAGGAGAGCTGAGAATTTCTCCTTGTTGATGTATTCATTTACCAGGTACAGCTCTGCTGGTTTTTAATACATAGAATTTTAAAGGATGTTTTTGTAAATTTCTCTGCTTTACAATTCTTAATGCCATTCATTCGTTATTACCCCTCTCTCCAGGCAATGGACAAGTTTTCTCTCTGCTGCATCAACTGCAATCTATGTTTACATGTATTCCTTTTACTACTATTTTTTCAAAACAAAGTAAGTAGAAACATTTTCTCATCATTCCTAAATAGGAAATTGAGTCTGTCGTTTAGTAAAATTTAAGGTCTTACCAATAGCAAAATATATACTAAGTACCATTTTGTTTTATTGCAGGATGTATGGCTTATTTCAGACATCATTTTACTTTGGATATATGGCCGTATTTAGCACAGCCTTGGGGATAATGTGTGGTAAGTTCTGAAATTCTTATAGCATCATGAGCAAATCATTGAGTGTCTCTGAATCATAAAAATACAGCTACTAGAAATTTAAAAATTCTGTGCTGTTTCCTTTATCAGGAATAACAAAGTGAAGAGTCTGCTTTTAGTCCTTGTGACTTTCCCATAAAACCTGATTTATACCCTTTTGGTTACTCTTTTAATTCTAATAATTCTGTGTAAAGCATAGTTCCATACCACAGTTTGTTTTTCATTTTGAGAATTAGAATTTTGATTTTACTGTCTTGTATTGGGATGAGATCTTGCTGTATTGCTCAGGTTGGCTTTGAGCTCCTAGGCTCAAGTTAATCTCCTGCTTTAGCTCCCCAATATCTGGGCTTAAAAGACATGTGGCTGAGAATTGGTATTTTTAAAACTTGAGTTCATTGGAAAAGAGTGTAATACAGGCAATTTAAGGTATTGCCTACATGGTTGCTGTTTGGAATCTGAGACAGCTAATGAAGACCCAGTGTCTGGAGAGCAGCATAGTTCATTGAGTGTGCACTTGGGCATTGGCACACAGGTCTTAATTTCTACCCACCACTCACATGCTCTGTCCTGACCACTGTGAGCTGAACATAGTGCTGCTATTGGATGGGCTTTTCACAGTCTTTCATCAAAAAGAAGAGGTAAGAGTTCATACCATAGCTAGAAAATAAAGAACTTTTGGAAACAGTATGATCAGTGGAAAGGTCACACAGACTTGAGAGTCCAGAAGACCTGAACAGGTGAGCATGTGTGGCTGATCACTTGTGGTGATAATGTCATAGAAGTCAGCCTAGCCTCTCCAAGTCTCATTCTCATCTATAAAGTGAGCATGTCTCCCAGAGTGGTTGTCAGGTAAAGCAAGTCTGGACAGCTCTTAAGTGGGAAGAGGGAGCCAGTTGCACAGGAAGAACCAAGGTTTCTGCGCTCAGTCCTGGGTGTGAATTCTCTTACTCCCACATTAAATAAATAATCGCTTTTTTTTTCCTTTTTCACTCACTTTTCCTATTGGCAAAATTGAAGTACAGCCAGCCTTTCAGGGTAAGCAGAGGACTCAGTGAGCACTGCTGCCCTGGCATGATAGGGCTTCCCTCTGCTCTAGGGTGTGTTAGTTTCTGCAATTTCAGCCTTGCTATGCCCCGAGTTATCACTTGCCAGCAATTTCATGACTTTGAAGCCCATGAAAGGCAGAGGTATGGTAAGCAAAACTCAGAAGTAACTTACTATTTTTCTGGTTCACTGTTTGTCTCATCTCTGAGACTGAGTTAACCTCATAGGAATGATGTAAGGTTTATGGTCTGATCACTGTGGAAACATTGCTGAAGAGTGGCAAATTAAGTTGCTTTTCTGGTTTTTTTTGGTTGCTATTGGCATTTTTTTTTCATCTCCAGACTTCTATCTATAGATATATAGAATGGGCAACAGAGGAGGGAAGATAAGATAGATTCAAAGCTGGGTTCTTGTCGCTCCCAGGATCACTTTGTTCCTCCATTGAAGGAGGAACAGTGCTTGTGAGTGGTGATCCTGCATGCATGCATGTGCAAGCAAAATGAGGTTGGCTTTGTGGCCACGCTAAGTAAGGGGTGAGATTGCTCTATATTTTACTCTTATGCTTCATTTATAGCTGCTTTCTGGGTTAATTAGTTAACTTTGAGGGGAAAAAGAAGAAGGACTGAAGGTTGAAACTAGCTGTATGATGTAGAAGTGTCTTCAGACAGTCTAATAGTTCTTTAATGGTTTTGTCCACTCTTAAATGTTGCTCAGTGGATTCTTTACCTAGCTAAGATCTTTATTATTGCTAGCCTTCAATCAGGTGACTATGCAGAATGTACTTTTTTTTCTGGATTTTTTTTTCTTTATGTGATGTTAGGAAGACCTAGAGAAATAATATGTTGACACTTAAAAAGAAAATAGAATGAGTTTAGCTAAATTTCTTTTCTGTTGAAAGTTTATTTTGACATATTTACAGTTCCTTGCCCTGCCAGTGGCATCCTAGCACTTTCTTTGATGTCAGTCATGGGTCATGAACTCAGGGCCTGGATACAGTTTCCTGAGCCTTTTTGCTCAAGAGTAGTGCTCTACCACTTGAGCCACAGCTCCACTTCTGGCCTTTTGGTGGTTAATTGGAGATGAGAGTTGCATGCATTTTCCTGCCTGAGCTGTCTTTGAATGAAGATCCTCAGGTCTCAGCATCTTGAGTAGCTGGGACTTACAGGTATGAGCCAGTGGTACCCAGCTCTAGCACTCATTCATTCATTTATTCATTCATTTTTGCAAGTCCTGGGGCTTGAACTCAGGGCCTGGGCACAGTCCCTGAGCTTCTTTTTTTTTTCGAGGCTAGAACTCTCTACCATTAGAGCCACAGCACCACTTCTGGCCTTTTCTATTTATGTGGTACTGAGGACTCAAACCCAGGGCTTCATGCATGGTAGGCTAGGCAAGCACTCTACCACTAAGCCACATTCCCAGCCCCAACCTGTTGTTACAGGTCATCTGTTTTGGGCTGAGTTGGGATGGGATGGGGTGAAGTGCAAACTAGAACAGATTAATGTGTTGTCATAATACAAAAATTATGCACACCCACCAATTAATAATGATTAAAATGTTTGCCAAAATGAAAAATACCTGTTATTGTTTTTAATGTATAGGAAGAAATGGACTTTGTGTTAAGTAGGAAAATAACATTGGTTTAGCCTTTATATTATGAACATAGTTCTTTTTTTTTATGAACATAGTTCTGTTTTGAGGAGTACATCTCTGTTATTCCTAAGACTTCTGCTTTTCTAGAGAGCACAGTCAGTATCCTCCTTATAAAGTCCTACTCTTATAAGTCTGTTTATGAAATATGTTTATAAAATTAAGAAAAATAATTCTCTAGGTTGATAGTGATTTGATTTTAAGCACATCTTACCCAGAAGGAAGCAATGCTTTGTAAATCTTGAAAACTGGATGCAATTATTAAACTAGTGCTATATTATGCCAGTTAAGGTTTTGATGGCAATTCAAATTTTATAGGTATTTTTATGTTAAAAACCCAGTTTTTTTTTAATTGAAGTTTTTTGTTTTGTTGATCGTGGGGCTTAATCTCTGGGCTTGGGAGCTGTCCCTCAGCTCTTCTGCTCAAGGAGAGCACTCTACCACTTGAGCCACAGCACTACTTCTGATTTTCTGGTGGTTTATTGGAGATCAGAGCTTCACGGACTTTCCTGCCCAGGCTGGCTTTGAACCGTGATTCTCAGATCTCAGCCTCCTGAGTAGCTAGGATTACAGGTGTGAGCCACCAGTGCCCAGTTAATTGAAGTTTTTTTTTTCCTACCTACCTAGTAAAGAGGTTATATTATTATAGCTATTTTAAATGCATTATCAGTATTTTAAATTTTAGTGTATTATGAAAGAAATGTCAGTGGAATAGGTTTAATTTATTGCTTTGGGATTTAAAAAATGTCAAATTATGGGAAATTTCAAATATATATAAAAAGCTAAGCTGTCAGTAATTATCTGCTCAATCTTGTTTGTTTACATTCCCATTTTGCCCCACTTTTATTGTAACGTTATTCTCAGATCTATGTCACTTAAACTATAATATTTCAGTATATCTCTGTCTCTAAAACATAAGCCAAATTCATTATGCTGATGAAATGTTCAGTTAGTATTCACATTTACTTCACCTGTTGCCACTTCTAGTTTTAGTACAGTTTGCATCAAGATGCATGTATTGCTTGGTAACCAAGGGTTTTCTAATCTATTCATGTTCTTCTTTCTTCACTTTTTTTTTTTTTTTTTTTGTTTTTGTGATTCTTGGGGCTCGAACTCTGGGCCTCAGGCATGCAAGCCAAGCGCTCTACCACTGAGTCACCTTCCCAGCCCTCTTCACTATTTTTTAAAAATTATTTTTAAAAATTCTATTTAGCTAGGTATAGTGGTGTATGCTTGTAATCCCAGCGGCTTGGGAGGTGGAGACAGGAGAATTCCGGAGTTATAGACCAATCCAGGCAAAAAGGTAGTGAGATCCTGTCCCCAAAAATAAAAGATCTTAAGGCTTAGGGTGTAGCTCAAGTGGTAGAGCATTTGCATGAAGTCATTTCTGAGTTCAGTCCCCAGTTCCACGAAAAAAAAGAAAAAGAAAAACAAAACAAAAAACCCCAAAAAGCCTATTTAGTGTTTTACACTCTGGATTTGGTTGATTGTATCTGTGAGATGAGATTTCATTTAGTGTTTTTCCACATGTTCTCCTCTTGCATATTTCTTCAAACTGTTAATCACAGCCTTGTTCATACCAATTTTTTTTTCTTTTGGGGTTCGTTCATGGAGCCTGAACTCTGGGCCTGGGCGCTGTCCCTCAGCTCTTCACCTCAAGGCTAGCACTCTACCACTTGAGACACAGTGCCACTTCCGGCTTTTTTCTTATGTGGTGCTGAGGAATCGAACCCAGGGCCTCGAGCATGCCATGCAAGTGCTCTACTACTGAGCCACTTTCCCAGCCCCTCATACCAATTCTTATCTAACAATATGTAGCACATAGTTTTCTTTTTCAAGGGTCATATATGTGACCAAGAGTCATTGATAATTATTGGTTAGCTCAAGTAATTTATTATAGTTAGAATATTTCTGTTTCTTAGCTAGAATACTTTTTATGAGAACTTTCTTTTCATCCACTATTTGTTTACCTTTAGGTGTAGCTCAAGGGTGAAATTCACTTGTTGAATAGAGAATAGTTGGTTCCAAAGTGAGTAATTATACACATCTGGGTGTGTATGCCATTATTAACTAAGAAAATTTACTTTTAAGCTTTTTAAGAATATTGGCCTAAAGCTGGGCACTAGTGGCTCACGCCTGTAATCTTCGCTACTCAGGAGGCTAAGGATCGTGGTTCAAAGCCAGCCTGGGCAGGAAAGTTGGTGAGACACTAATCTCCAATAAACCACCAGAAAACCAGGAGTGACGCTGTGGCTCAAGTGGTAGAGCACTAGCCTTGAGCTGAAGAGCTGAGGGATAGCTCCCAGGCCCAGAGTTCAAGCCCTACAACTGATTTAAAAAAAAAGAAAGAAAGAAAAAGAATATTGGCTTAAATGGCAAATTCCTAAGTGGAGAACTTTCTGACAATTTAGGGACCAGCTCTCTTGTTCTGAATATTCATTATAAAGAATATTCCAGTTGGGTCATTCATGCAGCAACTTACTGAGTACCTTTTCTTGAGTCAGGTGCTTCGTTAACAGAATAGAAAACTGTTCTCATTTTCAGGAGTTTTGAGCCCCATTTGAGATTTATTCAAGACTAGCATTTCTTTTTATCTGTTTACCTCTCTCTTGGTTCATTCCTTCCAATATGTCATCCTTTCTACTAAATGTACAGCTTCTCTAGCTGTAACAGAAAAGGAGTCTCAAGGAAGTGGCTCTTCTGGAGAGCTGCAAAGGCCATTGGCCATGCTTCTCAGTTCTTCCCTGAGGTACTGCTTGCTTTCACCTACCCTTGAGATTGCAGAAACATACTAGTAGTAGATAAGAGACCTCAAATAGTACATTCTCAAATAAGGTAAGTTTATTTTTTCATTTAACAATATTTTGTCATAGTCAAGTTTTTTTAAAATAAAAGATGTATTTTAAATATTCTACAGTTATTAACTAATTATACTAATTGTGATTTAATTCTTTAAAAATACATTAGGTCAGATTTGGTATGTGACTGTAACAGATGCTTTATGAAAGCAAATAATAGAATTTTAATTCACAGAGAATGCTAGTATAATACTATACTGCAAAAAAAAAACAACAACTTTCCAGAGCAGAGAGCTTTAGTAAATCTTGAATACTGCTCCATATGTATTTATTGTTTTATTTATTTTTAATTTAAATTTTAAGGTGATGTACAGAGGGGTTTCATTTGTTTTAATACATTTTATTTTGTCTTTGCAGGAGCAATTGGTTACATGGGAACAAGTGCCTTTGTCCGAAAAATCTATACTAATGTGAAAATTGACTAGAGATACAAAAAAACCTGGAACTTTGGATCAATTTCTCTTTCATAGTGGTGGAACTTGCACAGCAAAAAAGGAAAGCGCAAGAAGAAATTTGGGCTTAACACTGGGTACACTGTGGGTCTCTCTTTCATGGATGGCTTAAAGTAACATCTATTTCCATTGATCCTAGGTTCTTACTGACTGCTTTCTCCAACTGTTCACAGCAAATGTGTGGATTTTATGCAGTAGGCATTACTACAGTACATGGCTAATCTTCCCAAAAACTAGCTCATTAAAGATGAAATAGACCAGCTCTCTTCAGTGAAGAGGACAAATAGTTTATTTAAAGCATTTGTTCCAATATAAATAAATAAGAGGGAAACTTGGATGCTAAAAGTACATGAATAGAAATCTTCCTGGCACTTAGTATTTCTATGTTCTTGAAAAATGATGTTCCAGAAAGATTACCTTTTCTTTTATTTTTACTGCCATTGTTGACCTATTGTGGGACATTTTTATATATTGAATCTGGGTTCTTTTTTGATCTGTTATTAGTTGTCCATGACCTGCACCCCGCACCCCAACGCAACTGCATCCTTTTTTAAAAAAGGAAAAAAAAAAAAAGAAAACTTAGCCAAGTTAAATTCTGCATGTAATATATCTGCTGTCATCTTAGTCAGACCAACTTTCCATTTATTTATCTTAAAATTATCCAATTACATCTTAATTCCATCCAAAGATACAGTCCGAAGATAGATGTGTATTCTCTATATGCAATTTACTGTACAGTTAGAAAGCAAAGTATTAAATGGAGAAGGTACTTGTTTTTATAAACATTTGAGATTTAGATAATCTACATTTTAACTGAGTATCTAAAGTGATTATCCCCTCACCCCCCAGTTAGTCTCACATCTTTTTTTGGGTTTGAATGAAGGCTTTACATGAGAAATTATTAAAAACAAGGGGGGGTGGGTAATAAATGTATATAACATTAAATAATGTAACGTAGGTGTAGATTTCCAACTGCATTTGGATGTACAGACTGAATAGGGAGTACTTTTTCTGATGATTGGTGTAGAAATATGTGAATTTGGGTGGCTTTTTACATCTTGCCTACCATTGCATGAAACATTGGGGTTCCTTCAAAATGTGTGTGTCATACTTCTTTTGGGTGGGGGGTGTTTTATTCTGTTTCTTTTCTGAGACTCATACAGGAGCTAAATTTGTAATTTAGAAACATTTAATTTTGTTAATCCTGTCTGGGACATTTAAATAACATCTAAAGCATCATTGCTTTAGAATGTTCAAATAAAATTTCCTGACCAAATTGTTTTGTGAAAATAGATGTGTTTCCAATTTGAAGATAACTGTCCAAAAAGCAGTGTTACAGAATCCCACTTATTTTTTTTAACATACCATAAATGTGCTTTTGAATACAAAGGGCCCATATACTAATGTCCCCAGCTTGCCTACATCCAAATTATCCAGTTCAGTGACAGAGTGAGAAACTCTTGAATAAAATTATGGCACCAGGCTGATGTGCTGTGAGTGGTGCGGGCACAGTGGTAGCTTCTTTATTTGGTGAACAAATAGGCTGCTCTTCTCTAAAAGAAAGAAATTGCACTTGTGCATTTTTCTGGAATTGCCCATAATGTGAAGTTTCTCTAAAACCATTGTGTTTCTGGTTTAATAATTTGCTATGCAAATGATCACTTAAACCAGTACTATACATTGGTGTTTTTAGAAAAACATCACCACTACTGAACACCTTAGTGTGAACTTCATGCCATTAGTAGTTACTAATGGACTCCATATTCTGTACTGTGGCATTTAAGCCTTATGAAGGGTGAAAAATTTGATGTCTGACCACTTAGATAATGGCTAGTATGAGCAAATAGAAATTTGATCAGAAACTATAGGTATGTACTTCAAGCCAGAATGTTGCATTAAACATAATCTGTTGGCTCTTCCATTTTCTTACCTGCATTTATTATCTTGGAAACAACTAAAACTCACTATCTTAATTACTTAATGTTCTGTAACTTTTTAATATAAAATATTTTTAACAAGAAAACACATTATTTAATTGGGTATAAATTGGAACTGCAGGGTTTGGGGGGCTTTTTTTGTTTTGTTTTTTTTTGTTGTTGTTGTCTTATTAAAATAGTAGTTTTTCATGCCATGAATCCTGCAGGTAAGATGAAGGGTTTTTAAAAAATATCTTAGTTATTTTCAGGTGAACCAATCCTTACTAGTAAGTTGAGCTCCACTTGACAGTCTTTGGAATCTGTGGTGAAAAATAGATTTTTAATATTCAAATACATTAAGGGCATTATATATCACCTTGAAAAGTTCTTTACAAAAGTCATGGTTCCCACACCTGTAATTCTGGCTTTGTGGGAAGTGGAGATAGGAAGATCATGGTTTGAAGCCAGCCTGAACAAAAGAATATTAGCAAGAGTCTTAACTCTTAAGAACAAGCCATATATGGTGGTCACTTGTAGTCCCAGCTACTTAAGACATATAGGTTGGAAGATTGCAGAAACAAGACCCTATAACTAACGCAAAAAAAAAATAAATAAATAAAATCTGAGGCAGGTGCAAGCCCTGAGTTCAGGCTTTGATACCTTCCTCCCCAAATCCCCTCCCCCAAAAGAAATGGTTTTATGTTGGTTTGTAGCTGACTACACAAATGTGTCTTGAAGAAGATAGAATTCATAAATGACTTAGCTTCTCAGTAGAATAGTAAAACAGAATCTTACCGAAGTTGAGAGTTTTTAATTCTGTGTATGTCTTTCATTTGCTAACATTTGCTCAATTATCAGCTGACATTTTGAACACTATCAAAAACAAAGAGTAAACCAGACACTGGTGGCTCGTGTATATCCTCGCTTTCTCAGGAGACTGAGAGCTGAGGATTGTACTTCAAATTTAGCACAGACAGAAAGTTTGTGAGACTCTTTTCTTCAATTAACCAGCAAAAAGCCAGAAGTGGAGATGTGCCTCACATGGTAGAGCGCTAGCCTTGAGCACAAAAGCTCAGGGAGAGTGCTCAGCCCTGTGTTCAAACTCCAGGCCTAACACCCAAAGAAAAAATCTTTAGGGGAAACTTTCTCTGTTCCTAATTCATCTCCTAAAATTCAACAGAGTAGAAGTTGACATTATACATCTCTTCTGGTACCAAGAGTAGGATAAAGTAGAAATGTAATGGCTAGAGGAAAGAAAAGTATACTTTAGTATATAGTGTTGGGCTCCTAGATTATACTGGGTTTGCCCATAAATCAAGCCCAATACTCTTAGAACTTATCATCTTGTGGTGATATCTGAACCTAGTGAACTATTTGCTTGGGTGTTTTCCACTGACAGTGGGCAGACTCTCTATAAAGGTGGTTGCTGCAAACTAGTTCTTCCAAAAGCCACTTTATTGAGGGTTTATCCACAAATTGTATTCATTTTGATACAGCTTTTGTTTCTCTAAATGTTTACTAACCACCTATGCCAAATGTCTTGCAAATAAATGTTATTTTTCAACTTCCTGAATTTTTACAAATGTAAAAAGAGATGATGTATTAATGTAATTTGTTCAGGAAAAGCTACATACCGAAGGGCTTCTGTATATGAATTCTAGGGGGCAAAGCCTATGTAAAACCTGTAGTTAGTCTGGGTTTTAAGTTTAGATCTCAGTGTGTGTTACTGCTTCATTCTGTTGATTTATTGGAACATTTATAAATAGGACTAGTTTTGTGTAAAAACACAAGTATCTTTCAAAATTCTAGTTATGAAACTCTTAAGTAATTACAGTGTTGAAATCTGAAAAGAGTTTTAGGAAAATGTTCATGACTGAGTATAGAAATAGTGTAGGTTGACAAGGTAGAAGATAAGAATTATTATGTTAATGCAGAAATTTCAAAAAGTTCTATTTCAGTATGAGGAATAACTACTTTTCTTCTGAGCATTTTCTAAAAGATAGCTCATTGGACATTCTTACTGGCACTATAGATACTAATATGCAAAGACAAAATCAGGTTTCTTTCATTGTTATGAAGTGGAGACAAATTGTTGTAAGAGCTGCTTATAAGTATTGGTGAACTAGGTGTATAGTAATTGACCAGAAAGCACAGTGTGTTTACAGTTAGAGTGCTGTAATAGCTTAAGGCAAGGAAGAAAAAACAGTTCTGTTTGAAGGACAACAAAGTGTCGTTGGGAAAGCACTCCAACTTGAGCTTTCCAGCTTGTTAAACTTGAACCTATTAATCCCCACAGAGCATGGACAGTCAACAGAGTTGGAGGGAAACAGTGATTACCCAGTGGTCACTTCCGTTTTATACACATCCTTGGTTTGTGTAGGCCATATTCCACCTGGCTTTTTAGTTATTTAGAAATTTAGTAATGTATCAAATATAATTGAGGTTCTAATCTAGTCTGTTAATTTATCTGAAGCTGGATTTTTAAAAAGTAATAAAAAGTTAAACATTTCCCTTGAATGCTTTCTTTCTTTACTTTTTTAAGACAAGAGAAGCAAATATAAGGGATAACATACTAATAGCACTCAGTGCTCTACAGTAAATAAGGTATATGTCGGGGGAGCATTGCCAAAGACCACATAGTAATTGAGGCATTGGACAATGGGAGCAAATATAAAGCAGCCATAGTATAATAGGGAAGCTATAACTATAGAAACAACTGCAAATGAAAAACTTAGTTTTTTTTAAATTTAATTTTGTAAAGGTAATATACAGAGGGTTTAGAAGGACTTAAAATTTAGGGTTTAACTCTCTTCCCCCAAGTTTATGAAGGAAAAAAAAATTAAGGTACAGACCAGTTGCTAGAATGGTACAATGAATAAAGTTTGTCTTTTAAATGTTCCAAATTACCATTCTTTTGACTCTTCATCATATATAATCTTCAAATCTTGCACACAGACCCCACCACCCCTGTTCCTGTTATTCTTAAAGAAAGAATACATTACATTAGTCTGGTACGTACTACTTTTTTCCATAGTAGTTTCACACATGTGCCCTCACAGCGTCCTTTGTAACTAATAGCATAAATAAGAAAGGCTTTGTTTTTAATCCCAGAAATAATCAAGATTAGGGCCTGTTCTCTTGTTGGATGTAACTGGAAGTTGGAGGTATCACCTCTGTAGCCCAGAGAGCAAGTGTTAATATGGGAAGTCACACTGATTGTCAGTGTAATGATCAGTATACTGATGGATGGACTGTTCTTGGTGTACTCCGTTTGAAGCAGTAGTTTCACTTTCTGGTTTTCATATTCATTCTTAGCTCATTTTTAAGATCCTTCCCTGCTTCCTTTTCTCCTGATTTTTTAAGCTACTTTACTTAGTGTCTGTACTCATTTTAAAGATCCTTCCCTGCTTCCTTTTCTCTTGATTTTTTTTTAAGCTACCTTACTTGGTGTCTATACTTGGCAATTTGTATTTGCCTGATGGTTTTTAAGTTAGTGTGAATTTGGACTAATTCTGACATCTTTTTTTCTTCTTTTCTTTTTTTTTTTTGGTTGTGGGGCTTGAACTCTGGGCTTGGGTGCTGTCCCTCGGCTCTTCAGCTCAAGGTGAGCACTCTACCACTTCAGCCACAGTGCCATAGAGTCTCATGGACTTTCCTGCCCGGGCTGGCTTTGAACTGTGATCCTTAGATCTCAGCCTCCTGTGTAGCTAGGATTATGGTGTGAGCCACCAGTGTCCAGCTACTTCTTATATCTTCTATGAACACTTTTTGTCCGATTAGAAAAGGAAGCATAGAGGGAAGTCTGTTACTCAGCCAGCTTCTTAATTTTGAAGTGGGAACTACTAAATCTACAATTTGACATTAGAAAAGATAAAATAGGCTATATTTGGACATATGAAGTCAATGTTATTAAATGTACAAGTGTATTTAGAGTGAACCTTGTTTTAATTTTCAAAATTTAATGTGATGATCTTCAAATGAAAAAAATTGTAGACAGTTGTAAGGAGGCGATGATGTAAGTCTGGCCAGTGTCAGTTTGTCTTAGCTAAGTCTTACTTTTTGTGCCAATCCAGGGGCTTGAACTCAAGGCCTGGGTGCTGTCCCTGAGCTTTTATGCTTAAGGCTAGTACTCTACCACTTGTGCCACAGCTCTGGCTCCAGCTTTTTGTTGGTTAATTGAAGGTAAACATTTCTTGCAGTTTCCTACCTGGTCTGTTTTCCAACTGTGATCCTCTTATCTTAGTCTCCTGAGTAGCTAGGATTTCAAGCATGAGCAACTAGTGCCAGACAGCTCAGTCTTAAGTGACCAAGATTACAGGACTAATTCTGAAGGTCCTGACGGGGGAAAGGTAGAGTCTGTCTAGAGAGACAGGTGATTCTAAGTTGGGGTTTGTTAAGAGTGGGCTGCTGAAGTAGCTCAGGCAGGGCAGACCTGAATTGGTGTCAGTTGTAGCATTTGCTCCACTAGATGCTGTGTGAGGATGCAGGTCTGTAGCTGTTAGTGTTCCAGGCAGAGCATGGAGGTGTGAGGCAGCAGAGCTAAGGATAGCTGTCAATGCTTAATGTGAGTGGCATAAAGAAATTATATGCCAATGATAGGCAAAAGGAAGACAATGGTAGTGGGGCCCTGGTACTCCACCTGAGAAGCTAAGATAAGGGTGTTGGAGATTCAGGGAAGGTATAAGGCAGCTGCTGAAAATTGTAACAGCATCTCTGTGGTTAACAATGGGAGAAAAGAGTGAGCTGGTAGAGAATGCCTTCTCTTCTGAAGATTGTGTTCCCTGTCCTGGAGAAGATTTTGATGGTAGTTGGTGGAATGAGAGTTTCCAGGGTTGGGTAAAGGAGAATCAAAAGACCTGAAGGGGGTCTAAAGGCTGCTGCAGAAGAACTTGTTCACTGAGAAGCACCCAATTGAAGCACTGACTCAAGATTGAGAATTTACTTTCAGGATTTCCAGAGGACTAAAGTTCTTGGGAAGAAACCCACCAAAATTAGGAATGTGTAATTGTTGAACAGCTTTAGGTCTTTAGCCTGTGCTTCTAAATGTAAGCTTTTTTATTTTAAAACATTTTTAAAAAAATGTTTTAAAGTGATGAGTTAAATTAGGAACTGTAACTGATGAGAAAAATACTAAAACATCTCGGTCTTCCTAGCTAGCCTTTCTAACAATCCCAATGTTTTGTTGCTGATTGCCTGTTGGTTGATTGCCAAAGCAGCATCAAAACAAGCCCTTTGATGAAGTTGTACAGCTTGCTCACCCAGAGGCTCCAGTCTTCAAATTTTGGACAAAGGGTAATGATGAAAAGACCTACCCACCAGGTGGGGATTAGAAGGCAGTAAACCTCACAACCTCCGTGCATGCACAAGGTGGCTTCTGATGTCTGTTTTCCAGAGGAATTCCTTGCTTGTGAAGCCAGTTGGCTTTTGCCAACTGCCATCTGGACACCTAAAAGTGTCACAGAAGTTTGTTAGGCCTTTTAGGTGTTGACTTTGTGGACTTGTCTACTGACAAGTGGTGACCTTCATAGGGGTGAGTACAGCATACTATGGCGTTGGGTTTGACTCCTAGCATTCAGGCAGAAATGCCATTTAATCTCCTTCCACACCTATTGCCTGTTTAATGGCCACTTGGCCTTCCCTGCCATTTGGTGGGATCCATTCACCCTCTAGTCCCCTCCTGCCTGCCAGTTCCTAACCCAGTCTTGACCAATCTTGACTTTATCCTATATGTGCCCATTAGGTGATAGATAACTTGGATACAGGAGGCAGGGTCAAACTTCATTTCTTTGTAAGAACCAGTAGCACCCTTTCCTGGTTTGAAGGAATTGTTATCCTAGTTAATAAATAAGAGAATGACATGACCATAATGTTATGAAATAGATGGTTGGCACAAAGACCAGCTGTGTGCCCCCTGTTCATTATTTGTTATTAATGGCTATAAAAACCATGTGGAAAGAAACCTACAAGGGTTTATTTTAGAACTTTTAAACTTCCCTAAAAGGAAAGTTAAAGAAGTCTACTAGGTGTGATGATAAAAAAAATTCTGCACATACCATTGGTATTATACTTTATAATTAGGGCAGCTTTGCTTTCTCACACAAAATCTTTGAAAGCCTTACTGTAATAATACATGTCTAAGTTAAAATGGACCATTTTTACGCTTAAGGCACATCATAGAAGTGGATTTCAAGTAGCTTTTGATTGTTACTCCAAATCATTTGGGCATATATTTATCATTTGCTAAAAGAAACCCGATGCTAGCAATTGGTCCTTTTATTCTGACAGGCTAATATTGAGGGACTTTAATGAAACATCTAATTTTAGGAAGCATGGTGTGGCTCCAAGTTTTAGACCATAGGAAGCATCACGTAGGCTGTGCGTGTGCGTGCACGCGCGCGCGCTGTTTACTGGGGGGGAAAAGTCACCTAGAAGGGAAATCTGCCCCTTAAACGCTTTTTACATACCACCAGCCACTGCATTGAGTTGGGTGGGCGCCACCGCAGATGCCTCTCGTAGCTGGATGAGAGGTGGTTTGAAAGGGCTGGGGAAGCCGACGTCCTCCGGCCTTTCCTCCTTTCCAGCAGCCAGTGCCCTAAAGCACAGCGCGAGTTGTTAGCGACTCGGAGCGCCTGCCGGCGTCCACGTGTGCGCCGGGAGTTGTAAAGTGAGTTACTGAAACAGCGAGGCGGGAAGCCCGGCCGAGATAGTAAGGAGCATCGTTGCGGGAGCCCGGGCCCGGGCTGACGCCCCAAAAGGCCGCCTTCGGCGTGTGCGAGCGCTACCGGCTCTCGGCCGCGGCCTTCAGCATCCTCACTTCGCTCCCCTTCCTCCGAAGTTGCGGAGGTGCCGGGAAGAGGAGGGGCCTCGCCTCGGGCGTCCGAGTGATTGGCTGTCCGGAGGCCTTGGCGGGGGCTGTGTGGTCCAGCTCTGGTGGAGAGGGGGCGGAGCGGCCACTGCTTCACCACCACCGCCACAATCACAACCTCCGCAGCCTCGGCCGGGCTAGTCGCTCCGAGCGGGCTGCTTCCCGGGTGCCCCATCGCGGACAGTGGGCGCCGCGCTCGGCTCTCGGCGAGGACGCCATGCCCCGCGTCCGCTCTTAGCCGCCGACGCCGGACCCAGTGCACCATCTCCCCCAAGCCGAGCTTTCGCGCTCGCGAGTCCCTCGGCCCCCACCAGCCCCGCGCCACCATGCCCTCGGCAACTGCGCTCCGGGCTCTGGTGCCACTGCTGCTGCCGCCCCTGCTGCTGCTGCTGCCGCTGCCCCGCGGCGCCGGGGGGCTCGGGGGGCGCTCGGAGGCCGCCCTGGACTACTGGGCTCCGGAAGGCGAGGCGGGCGCGGAGCCGCAGCTGGAGCACTACCACGATCCGTGCAAAGCCGGTAGGTGCCGCCGCCTCGGGGCAAGTCCAGCCAAAGTTTGCCTTTGAAATGCAAATGAGTGGTGGGCGAGCCTGCGCCTCCGTCTCTGGGGCGGGTCTCCCCTCTCCCGGGATGTCCCCAGGTCACGGGGAAAACAATGCCCCCGCGGAAACTGCCTAAATACCCTCGGGTCCCAGGCTCGCGGGCGCGCCCCGGGCAGCGGCCAGGACCGGCCCCTAGGCCAATGAGGGGTGTGAATCAGGGCGGGGGGGGGCGCTCCGGGAGGCGGCGGGCTCCGGGGCCCCTGTCCGCCCGAACGCGGAGGGGCTGGAGGGGAGGCTCGGGGCTGGGCGCAGCGCTCGCAGACTCCGATTGGAGTGGCTGGCTCCGATGTCACGGCATTCGGAAGTTTCGCACAAAGTTTCCCAAGCTCCGTAGTTCACGCTTGGAAAGAGATTTTTAAGAAGGACCGAAGAGCATCACAGCAAGCAGGAGGAACAGAGTTACCTAGGGAGAACGCGCCGGGCTCGAGTTGCTGCTAACTTCCCCGCGGTCCTCTCCGCGCGGTCCCGCTTGGGGGTTGCCCGGGAGGGGCGGAGATGGAAGCCAGCAGGTGCTCTAATCCCACCAGGAAGCGGCTCCCCGGGACGCGCGGGACGCGCGGGCGCTGAGCGCGGCCGGCCGGGGCACTGCAGCTCCGGGATCCCTAGCGAGGTCGGCTTCTGAACCCGAATCCTTAAGGTGTCAGGCCCAGATGGGCCCAATGGCAGGTCGCGAAGAGAACCGACAGGGCCGTTTCCCAACGGAACAGAGGGGTGCTTTCGCTCTGCGGGTGAAGCTGGCCTCAGACCACAGCTGCTCCAGGCTGGTGGTCAGGCCCGGTGGGTAGAGGTGTTTGCCTTTGAGCATTGTCTGGTCCCTTTCAGCTGGCCTCAGGCAGAGCGTGGCTTCACCCTCAGAGGGTCCAGCAGCTTCCTCCCGGCGCTACACCTAGCAGGTCTGGGCCAGTTCCCTGGGCCAGCACCTCATTTTCTCACTTCCTGGAGACCTCTACCACTCTATTTCCTCATCTCTGAAGGCCCAGATTTATGGGAAAAATCTTTGCCAGTGGAATAATGATGTGGGCATTGCAGTTGTTTTTTATTGTTACTGTGATGGCTCTGATGCAGGTCTGCGGGGGTGGGGTGCTGCATAAACCAAAACTGGGGTGAAATCTGGGGGAGATGAGGTTGGAGGACTTAGGAGTTTGTGAGGATTTTGTGAGGGTTGAAGACCAAACCAGGTGTGAGTGGCCTCATCTTACCAAACAATGAAGACGCCTGCAGAATATCCACCTATTTGCTGTACCTGTGGAGCCCCTGAGCTGGGAGGGAGGCCAGAAGAATTGATTTCAGGGTAATTCAAGATCACATTAGCAGGTAGCACTCCTGACTGTGGTAGGGCGAGGGAGATGGTCTCCAGAGCATTGTTAGGATGGTCTTGAAGAGAGGACACTGAAGCTGGGAAAATGAGATGGAAGGGCACCAACTACCAGCGGCACCTGTGGGATCCTGGACTCTGCCACTGGGCACTTGGAGCCAAGAGCTGGGAAGAGATTAGTTTGCTCCTGAATGAAAAACCCTATTAAGTTGGATGCTGGCACCTGGATTTGCAGCTGCAAATCCAAAGGTATAAGACTCAGGAATGACTATGAAGCCTTCCTAGCCTGGTCTCAGCTTCCAGGGATCAACCCCGAGGCGTTTGCTTTAGGCTTTGGATACTCAAGTCTTGCCAAGTCTGGGACAATCTTCTAAAGTGGTTTCAGACAGCTCTGTGCATCCTTCACAGCCCTTTGGATCCTCTCAACCTACCAGACTCTCCCTGAGTTGTTTTTGATGCTAAAAGCCTGTGGGAAAAGGGGCGGGGGGAGGAGGGCCAATTTTCAGAAAGGGCAGTGGCCAGGGAGACCTGGGAAAGGAAGTCTCAGCCTTCCTACCTGATACTTCTCAGACCAAGGGAACAACCATCAGTCTGGAAGGCCAACAAGCAGTTTGTACTACACTAAAATCTCAACAAAGAACACGTCTCTCAGCTGGGCACTGTCCTTCCTGCATATTTATATCATACCTTTCCATACACACACTATATGGTCCTACCAGTCCAGTCAAATTTGACTTCCTGGCCTTTCCAGCTAGAATCAGTGCTCCTGGGACCTGACTCTGGGCTTCAAATCTCTAACTTCTCACCTATCCCTTCTCCAATGTGGGTCTTCATACTGGTTTGGATCCAGAATGGATCCAAAGGAAGATCTATTCCTGGCTTTTCAGTAACTGTCACCTTGGACAAGTCTTCTCCTCTCTGGGGATTTGTTTCATTCCTGTAAAACAAAGAATTTGTTAGGATTGCAAATCAATGGATCTGGGGAGCTCTTCTCTTGATCCATATTCGTTTTATGGACTTTATCTACTTCATGTCTATGGCATTTTGAGCACCTGCCCTGTTAAGTGTTCTTTGGTTCTGTGACTCTCCTGCCAGCCCAGATTTTTGAAGCTAAGCAAACTAGCACAGAAGCGTGATCCCATTTACCTTGTTGCCATCTATCATCAGCGTTTTATCACTTCAGTTTGGAAGTGCCTGCCTGCCTTCATCATTTTAATGCATTTTTTAAAACATGTTAGCATAAATTAATTGTACAAAGGGGTTTCATTGTGATATTTACAATGTCTATTTAAGGTACTTTGATCAAGTTCCTTCCATCTTTATTTCTTATTTCTTAACCCCTCTTCCTCCTGCCCCTCTTTCTTAACAATTTTTCATATAGATATATATTGTACTTTATAACATAAAACCTTCACCCTATCACTTTTTTCTCCCCCCCTCACTGTTTTACACATATACATACAGAGAGAGACAGACAGACAGAGAAAGAGACAGAGAGGCAGAGAATGAGAGAGAGAGTCATCTCTTACTAGGGGCAGTACAGCAGAACTGCCTAGAGTTGAGCTGAGGGTATATGAGTCCGGTAACAAAACTTATCAGCATAAGGCTCAGATGCTGACATAGCACACACTGGGTTTTAAGACTGCTGCATAACTGCCTGGCAGCCAGCTTTCTTTTTTTGGTGCTGGTACTGGTCCTTGAACTTGGGACCTTATACTCTTGCTTGACTTTTTTTGTTTTATTCTGTGTGTTTTGCTCAAGGCTGGTGCTCTACCATTTTAACCAGTGTTTTGCTGTTAAATTGAAGAGGACTTGTCTGCTTGAGGCTGAATGAACTGCAGTCCTCAGATCTCATCCTCCTGAGTAGATGGGATTTTAGTGTGAGCCACCAGTGCTCAGAGGCCAGCTTACTTTTCAGCTGGTTGCTCAGTAATGCCCAGGGCTTCCTCCTGGCTCTGAGTCATGGGTTCAGATATGGTAAATAAAGTTTGTGGGAAACTGTTGTTTCCTCATGTGGAAACTCAATTCCCCTCCACACTTGTGGGCCTTACTTCTTTCTAGAATTCAGGGCCTCACTCCACCTTGCCATTCTCTCTACAATGTCTTACCAGTCAGGATTTTTTTTCAAGGCCTGGGGCTTGAACTCAGGGACTAAGCACTGTCCCTGAGCTGCTTTTGCTCTACCACTTGAATCACAGCACCACTTCCAGGTTTTTCTGTGTATGTGGTACTGAGGAATCAAACCTAGGACTTCATGCGTGCAAGGCAAGCACTCTACCACTAAGCCACATTCCCAGCCTCAGTCAGGATTTTTTGAGTTAATCCTTCTGGACCAGCTCTTGCCAGGGGCCTTCACCTTACTGATGTGAAGAAAATACTTAATTTCATGAAGCTAGGGACTTTTGTCACTTTGCCCAGGGCCTAGGTTAGCACTCAGAACATGACAGGCTCTTGTCAGTATCCACTGAATGAGATTGTGGTGGTGGTGGTGGCGGTGTGTGTGTATGTGTGCATGTGTGTGAGTGTAAGTGATGTTGGCCTTACGTGGATTGGGTCCATAGAACTGTCTACCTGTTCTCAGCCCTGGCCAGAGGACTGTAGACCTTCCAAGTGCCCTGAGTTAGGGAGACTTGGGAGAGGGGGACTTTCTGAGCAGAGCTCTTCCAGTGTTTTCAGCTTTCACGACAGGGTCAGGAACCCCAGTTTCCTAAGCAGAATTGAGGCTCATATGGCATCTCCTGGGAGCTTAACTTCCTGGTGTCTCCCATCTGACCCCCATGAAACTCCCACACCTGGTAAAGGTAGGTGGCGTATTTACATCTTTGTTTTCATCCCCAGGTACCCTTGCTGATACGCAGGTGCTGATTTAATGGAGTTACAATATATCTCATCATGGGCTAAGAATTATCTATTTCCCAGTCTCTAGGAGGGAGCATCCTTTAATCCACCTCTGCCCTCCCATAGTTTAGTACCCAAAGTGTACTGGGGAAGAGTGTGAGCAGTCTAAGCACAGTGACAGACTTGAATTCAAAGTCTGTTTCTTTGCAAGGCTTGTGACCTCAGGGAAGTTACTTGACCTCTGTGGGCCTTCAAACCCAGGTTTCAGAATACTATAAGGGTTACCAACTTCAGAGCAGTCAGCAGGTCCTCAATGACTGATATTTACATCAGCAGAGTAAGACAGCAGGTGCTCCCAAACACTTCCTGAAATCATCTGTTGGAACGCTATGGGAGAACTTTGAATTTTTTGCAATAAATGATTTCATCTAGTATAATTAGACTTAGGAATTTTCATTTTCAAACCTGACCACTGTGGTTAAACAGGGTCTCAAACGTAAGTGAAAAGCTAGATGTGGTGGCTCAAGCTTGTAATCCTAACTGCTTGAGAGGTAGAGATGAAGGGCAGCGATCATGGTTCGAGGCCAGTCTTCACCTAAAAGTTTGCTCTTGCAAAATAGTCTCTCAACTAGGGTTGGGAATTTCACTCAGTGGAAGAGTGATGAGTTCAGTCCTCAGTGCTGGAAAAAAAAAATGCTTGCGAGACTCCATCTCAGGCAGTGTTGAGAGTGGTTGCACATGCCTTTTATCCTCACCATTGGGCA